ATATTGTCATTAGAATTATCATCATCGCCGACATCGTCTAAATCATCATCATTACAATTTTAGGGTATATAGGTCTATAACGCAAATGTGGTTTCCTTTTTGATTATTTGTTTAAGACTTCAAGTTGTTGTGTTTTTTGTTTTCCACTTGTTCTAAATTATGCAGTATTATATTTTGATAATGCATTCAATAATAATTATAGCCAACTTGAAAGACAAAACTTTCCGAAATGATCTTAAAAACGAAGTTGTCGATTCACTTCCATAGAAAGTCAGTGTTTTTTTTTTGCAAAATAATGTAGTATAATAATTAATGCAAAAGGAGTGGTGGTAGGGGGGGGGGGGGTCACCAGTCACGTTTTTGCCACTTCAACATCCAAAGAGGGTTGAAAGCTATTGTATAAGTATTTTGTTGACATTACCGAGAACAACTCAAATCATGTCCTGCAATGTATTGCCCTTCTCTAAATTTGGCACTATACCCCCTCTCCCACATCTTCTAGATAATTCATCTATTTATTTATTCATTCAATATTCATTCATTAATTGCCGAGAGATATTAATGTGATGGATAGAGATAAAAAAAAATTCACCTTTTATTCGCCATAAAACTTTAGCAAACTAACAACGTATATAAGAATTACCCTAGCCATTTGAAAGGCTGACAGGCGTATAGGCCCTTGTGAAATGTATCATTTATAGTTTTATACTACTCTTTCGATAGCCATTCATATAGGTTTATTTCACATAAAACAACATTTATTTTATTCACAGTCAGCTGACGGAAATTTGATAGCAGCGAAAATGTCATGGTCCGTGTTGGCAAAAATATATAACACACAAACATTTGAAAAAAGATATTATAGCCTAATGTATAGAAGCACTAAGAAAAAGGATGTAAAAGTGAAGAGGGAGACTAAAAGAAAAATCGGGGAAAGGAGGGGTGTAATCGAAGAAAATTGAGGGAATAAATTAAACTAAAGTAATTAAAACAAAAACTAATACATCAATCCTCTGCCTGCATCCTGTATCGTATCAGAAACAAGCACTCTTTTCGCTACAAAGCCACGACGCTGGATTGAAAGGCGACACAAGCTTCAGCGACATAGAACATAAATACAAACTTTTTGCAAATCTACCAAACCTGGCAACTTTTTTAAAAGCCGGACTTAGTTGTCATCGGGATCACTTTTGGAGAACCGAACTTCAAGCATTTTTTGCAACATTAATCAATCATATATAATTTTGTCACAAAATTTAACTGCATGATTATCACATTACCACATCGTTACCAGAAATTGTCGGTTGCTCGATCGAACGAACGGCCAAACATCATTGCAACATTCTTCGGGGGGGGGGGTTCAATCTCGGCCTCCCACCTTATTCGCCTACCATTACCCCCCGGAAAACTACCCCCAAAGATAATTACCCCTTAGGACAATTACCGTGCCTCGACGAGCTACCCCCGGAAAAGAGTCCCCCCCCCCCACCCCCTGAAACTTAACCCCTATATAGGACAATGCCCCCCTGGGACAACCAAGGACAACCGCCCCGAGGACTACCCCCTGTTCAGTATGAACAGGGGGAAGTCAACCTCGATAATTAGTTGGGTAATTTTTAGGGGGAGATCATTAATTTCAGGGGGTGGTAATTGTCCTCTGGGGGTTTAATTGTCCACGGGGGGGGGGGGGGGTAATAATTGTCCTAGAGGGTAATTTTTCGGGGGGGAGTAACTTCCTCGGGGTGGTTGTCCTCGGGGGGGGGGGGGTAATCGTCGTTGGGGTAATTATTGTACCGCTAATTGGCCGGGGGTGACATGCCCAAGGGGTAATTGACCTAGAACCTTCAAAGGGCAATAAATAAACAGCTACTCAATTTACACTGAATTTTATTTTCTGGTTGTAAACTCAACAAAAAATGAATGGCCACCTCTAAATGATTATTTTGTAGACCATGCAAGTGAGCCTGCAAAATGTTAAAGGTAATACAAAGTTTTGGTAAGGGGTCATGAATTTGGTTCAAATGAACATATTGGAAGCATATACGATCCTACAATATTCAGTAATCGTCGCGGTCGAAATCGACTCTAAAATTATGAAATTGTAAATAATAAACACTTTATGTTGAATAGCTCCCTCTCAAGGTCAAGATATTAATTAAGCTATAAAATAATGTTTATTGACTAAAATTGACTGATTAGCTATTCTTGTTCGGAAATTATATACCACAACTACATACTCTGAGATTTTCATGGTCGCAGCTACCATTGTACGGCCGTTGGAGCTATTTGAAATTTATCAAAATTTACCGGGAGCACCGGTAAATCTTTATATTCAATTTTTCTCGAAAGCAGAAGCGTTTTAGGGGCTAACATTTCTGGTGTTTTTAATACATCCACAGGGGCATCCAAATATATTAAAATTGTAAAGAATCACTATCCACCCATTTTTCAAAATTTCCCAAAACTTTGTAATACCTTTAAGTTTAGTAGCACGGTTATGATTGCTCATCAAAAAGTGAAACAACATTCCGTCTGGCAGATTTTGACAACTGCATGGCTGTAATCCCAGTAAAGAGTTTTATGCCTGGTGACCATGTTATCTCATTTATGATCTTTCTTTTATTTGCAAAATGTAGGTCAACATATACGGGGGGGGGGGGTGAATTCCCAATTTACAAACTGTTTATAGGTCGAATGTAGTTTTATAGTATTTGTGTATTCTTCACCTTCTTCATACTCTCGAGTTGCGATTTTATGGAGTAAACCGAGTGTTTTATCATGGAAAAAAGACAATGAAGTGTGCACTTTCAAAAAACCAACCGCAGACCTAAAAACACACAAATAGACTAAAAAACCACGGGCAGATAACCTTTTCTCTGTTAGAGCATAAACAACGCACGGTACATACACTGAACTAGCGCGTGTGTTTGAGTGGGCGGAAATAGGGCAGGGGCATCACAGGGCGACATGGCCGAGTTCAAGCCTCGATAACTTTTTTATAAATAATAATTTTCGCAAGAAATTTGCTCAGGTAAAACATCAGGAATTTAAACTTCCATATCTCTTTAAACAAAAGTAAAATTTCCACCATATTTTTTTTCTGATCGTTGTGAATAGGAACTTGATGTTTTTTAAAAAGGTTGATTCACACCTAAATAAGCGCATAGCTGACTGCTGCACAGTGACGTCATTCGCGTATCTCCGTTAAATGGGCGATCGACAGTGTACCATATTTCGTGCACATGTTCCTTACAACGTGTATGCTGCTATAGGCAAGTTATTCGCACGCCTTCATTGCGCACCGTAGAAACTCGGGCGATGGAAGACGGCCGTTGTGTCTAATAAGCCACTGGTAACAGGGGGGCGGTAACTGGGCAGGGTACGGTACCCCTTCACTCTCAATTTTTCTTTATTTATAAAATCTAGTTCCTCTTCCTTCTCTATCCAATATTATACAGTTATTGACTGACAGGGGGTGTAATATAACATTATTTGGACCGCTGAAGGGAGTTATATTTCCCAAGTGGTTATATTTTCCCGAAGCGCGCAGCTGAGGGAAAATATGGTCACGAGGGGAAATATAACTCCCTTCAGGTCCAAAGAATGTTATATACCCCCTGCCAGTCAATAACTGTTATATTAGATAGCCCTTTTTTTGTGTGGGGGGGGGGGGGGGTCCAAAAAAATTTACCCGAAATTTTTTTTTTCCCCTTTTTTTCGGAAATTACGGAAAAATAATCTGTCGAGATAGTTCAAGAAAGAAAAAAAAAATTACAAACAAATTTTGGGGAAAAAAAATTCTTACCCAAAAAAGCATTTTTCGGGAAAAAAAAAATTACCTAAAAAAGCATTTTTTGGGAAAAAAAGAAAATGTGGAAAAAAATAATTTCAAGGGAAAAAAAAATTCATGAAAAAAAAATATTGAAAAAATTAAATGACCCTCGGTAATGGTGTAATGTGTGTAATTGGTGACATACAGTCCTCAAGAGGGCGACATGCATTGATTAAAAATATATTCATTTCACCAGCTGGTTAATATAACACCGAAAAGTGACCGGCCAGGAAAATATAACAATTTGGATCCTCACAAATGATATTACGTGACAAGCTCTGGACCAATCACACCTCGGTATCTGTCTAAGCTATCTAATATAAAAAATTATTTAAAAAAAAATTTACCCCAAAAAGCATTTTTTGGGGGAAAAAAAATTTCTAGGGAAAAAAAAATTCATGAAAAAAAAATATTGAAAAAATAAAATGGCCCCTCGATAATGGTGTAATGTATGTAGTTGGTGACATACAGTCCTCAAGAGGGCGACATGCATTGATTAAAAATATCTTCATTTCACCAGCCGGTATAATATAACACTGAAAAGTGACCGGCCAGGAAAATATAACAATTTGGATCCTCGCAATTGATATCACGTGACGAGCTCTGGACCAATCACATCTCGGTATCTGTCTAAGCTATCTAATATAGATCTATAGGCCTTCATCTTTCTTCTTCTTCTCCTTCTCTCTCTCAGCTCTCTCTCCCTCTATCTCTCTCTCTCTCTCTCCCTCTCTCCTCTCTCTCTCTCTCTCTCTCTAGTCTGTCTGTCTCTCGATCTCTGCCTCTCTCTCTCTCTCTCTCTCTCTCTAGCTCTCCTATATGGTCTTCCTATTTGTTCCCTTTAATTTAAAATGTCTTCTTTCTCCTTTTTTTCTTTCTCTCTTCTCTCTCTTTCTCTATAGCTATATGATCTCTCTCGATCTTGTCTCTCCTCGCTTATTATATGGGACTACAAATGGTTTCCTAATCTTTCTATGCTCATTTCTCAGCCAGGATACGTTTTCTACCAACATTTTTTGGCAAATGAAATTTATTTGTAATTAACATTCAGTGTAAGTTTCGTTTGACTCCAGCTCTGTGAGAATTCATTTTTTTTTTTAAAAACCAGAACCTTGGCTTCTCATACTATAGCGCTATTATGCTGCTGCGCTGATGATCGCTGTGTAATGGTTATGCACCCGTCAACCGGATCTTGAACAACCAACCATGCACAGGCTCAAGCAAGACTCATTCTTATTCTCCTTGCTTCGTAAAAAACATGGTTGAGATTCACCCTTTCAAATCATTTATAAACATAAGGTGCAAGAAAAATAGGGTGCAGACGTCTTTACCCGGTGGGTCAAGTCAGCAGATTTACTGGCCAGCATCACCGCGCCGTAACTTCTAGTCTAGAAAAGTGGTAAATAAAGTGAGTATAGAATCCACACATAGGTGCATTACTATCCTACTCCTAGCTGTGTAGTAAAAGCTGTGTTTTGATTCTCAACATTTCAAACACCACTGTACAAAACTCAACTGATTTCACTCAAAATCGGTACTTTAGTGACAATTGATGACACCTAAATAGCAGTAAAATATATTTTTCCAGCTTACTGATGTTAAAAAGAATAATTGAAAAATTTAAATTGTATGAAGGGGTGACCAAAGTTCGCGGATATTTTTCTTTTATTGCACATTACAAAAAATCCAGATCAACAAATATCATGTTCCATACGTCATAAGATTCGTAATTTATCATATAATCAGATTATATAATATTCCAAGGCTTTATTTACTTCAAATCAATGATAAGACGAGAATATCGGAAGCCTTACCACTACCGACGTCCGTCAAAAAGTGTGACCTAAGTTCGCGCATGATATTTACTGCCCTCTTGTGATGGGCTTTATATATGTAAACATTCCAAAAAGTTACGTAGTTTCATTCAGAAGCCGAACTTTATATTGAGACTTTGAAAAAGATAATAATTTCTCTCTATCATTGAAATATTGCCCGATAAAAATACCCTTGTTAAATTTTGCAAACAAAAGACAATATTTGTCAATGTTTATGTGTTATTGACAATGTAGTCTCTATCTGCATGTCATTTGTTTGTTTGAAAAAATTATCATGTGTCTCCGTTTTATATGTCAGCCATACACAAGTTCTTGATCTTTTCTCTCTTTGTCTCTCCACTTTCCCCTTTTAAATTTGTATTCTTACGAAACCCATAGATTCATTGAAATTCACAAACACAAATACGGTGGAATTATAAGCAGGTGCGCAGGTTCGTTTTTTGCGTAAGAAATTGGAATTTTATCATTAGTTTTCGGAGTCAATCCCTCTAATAAACTGATTTTCATATAACAAAAACACAATTTGTTATGATAAAAAGCGTGAAATAGCTAGCTTATTCACATTTTTATGTCGCATTTTGACCTTTGGAGTTGTCGACGGTGCTCAAAGATTTCGTTGTCTCAGTCCCACACAGGCATTGCGTATCGTTCTCCTGTTATAAGCGCTTTTAGTGTTAGTGCGCGAACTTTGGTCACGCGCGAACTTTGGTCACACCACCATAAGTCTAGTGTCAAATTTGCCGATCAGCTCAATCGGTCCTATTGTGTGCAGTCTATGCAATATTGTGTGGTGTGTATATCTGTGTATAATACCTGCCTCATAGCAAGTATGCATTGTTAGAGGTCAATACGCATTAGCATTGACTCTCTATGCTTTACTGAATCTAGGAAACGTAGAATAGACTCTACTTGTGGATCTGTTTTCTCAACATGGTAATAAAAAAGCACAATATATTGTAGTTTGTACTATGTGTAGGTGAACTGTGAAGAAGAAGAAGAATATAAATATACCGGTAAGTAAGTGTCTAGATATATCTTCTTGAATTGTTTTCTAGAAAATTCAGTATACGGGGGAGGGGGGGGGGGGGGTGTACTCAGATTTGGTTTGGACGGCGGTGTGCTGCTCAAGCCTCGAAACTCCTACCCATTTTTAAGGGTCATTTTGGGGTCATTTTTCGGGTGTTTTTCAGGTGTTAGCATGGCAAACACCAAAACAAAAATTGAAATTTTGAAAAAAACGGACCTGTGGTATTTTTGTTAAAAGTGGGACCCATGTGGGACTTTTTGTTAAAAAGTCACCCATTACAAAAGGCATTAGAGCGGCACACCCCTGTATGTCCTTAAGCCTAGCCCAATAGGTAGGCATTTCATTTTCAGGCGATATTTTTCCGTAGTTCTTTGTTTAAAGAGAAGGTTGAATTCTGGGAAGAGTTGAAAAATAATTTGTGAGCGTTATTATTGTTATTATGCAAGTGTGGAAGAACATCAGATAAAAGATGTTCCATGAAAAGCATGTCTCTTCAAATGCCTTAATATTCTAAATATGGCATGTACCATCATAAGAATCGGCACAGATTTTTACGCCACATGTTTGTGTAGTCCCATATACATCTTTCTGTGTACAGTGCTTGTAACTTTACCAAGACTGGGCCAAATTTCTTATCATTTTGATGATTCCAGAATCTTGCAGTACACACCAATACTTATATGCTAGATGATCAACCGTTTCTTATCCTTTCCACAATGTTTCTTTCACAATGCAATCGCATAACCAGAACTCAACTTTATCTTTAAATCGGTTTCCTGATTTTTTTAAAAAGAAATTACGACATTTACAGGTACTATGTCCCTTTTGCAGCCAAACTCAAATTCTGTAGAACTTTTTTAAGGGGAAAGAAAAAAAAAATCCTATTTATTTTTTAGTGCTCACTATCAGCCCTCCCTGTATAATTAGGCAAAGGTCCCATTTCAAGGTACATAAAGTTTTCATAATTTATTCAAACAGATGCAAAGTAACAGTAACGGTGAAAATAAAAAAAACTGACGCCCAAATGCTATAAATGCTTGCATTTGTGAATTTGAATACCTTAAAGGCTTAACGTTCATCAGGGTGGTGCAAGCGCGAATATGAATGCATTTATGTGCTTTTTTTTAAAAAAATTGAGCGCGCTCTTTACACGTTTATAATGTAAGAAAATCATGAAATCACATGCTAATACAATCAAATTGAATTGAATTGATTGTTCAAAATCGCTTGAAAGTGAATGCATCGTAAATCGGATGCAACGTTGACGAAATTGGGTGGGAAAATCTATGCTATACTACATAGGCCTATACTACTGTAATGAGTCGAGCAATAAGGATGCAGGATTATTTCAAGAATTTCCATTTGGTTCCATATTTTTTTCAAGTTCAAACTATGTTACCAATTAACAATGAAGCCTTACACTAGTTGCAGACCTACACCTGAATGGTATACCGTATATGTACAATAAGATGTATATCATCATCATTAATATTTTCTTTTTGTTTGTTTCAGATGGTTTGCTTGATGTTCTAGTAAACCCCCAACTCTGCCTCTAACTAATTGCACAGTGAACGCATCTAGACTATTGGAAATGGAGCCTGTACGAGAAAGACACTGGCTTATCCCAACAGCTCTGTTGTGCTGCTATGGATTCTTAAAGGAAATCCGCCCTTCTGAACCCTTCCTGACCCCGTATCTCCGTGGTGATAAGAACCTCACGGAGCAACAGGTGGATAATGAAGTCTACCCGGTTTGGACGTACACGTACATGGTTGCTCTTATCTTTGTGTTTGTCCTCACTGACTTACTGCGCTACAAGCCAGTCATCGTCTTCGAAGGCTTAGCCTACATTGCGACGTGGTCAATTCTCCTCTGGGCTTATGGAGTGACAATGATGAAACTCATGCAGTTCATGTACGCTTTCGCAACGTCGACAGAAGTGGCGTACCTTGCGTACATCTTTGCGGCCGTATCGTCTGACCACTATCAACAGGTGTCCAGCTACACACGGTCATCCCTGCTTGCTGGAAGATTCGTCGCGGCTGTCATCGGACAACTCTTAATCTCTTTTAAAGTCACGACATACAGGGGTCTCAATTACATTAGTCTGACCTTTGTCTCTCTAGGTTTCGTGATAAGCTTGTTCTTGCCATCCGTTCACAAGAGTACATATTTCCATCGAGACTCGCCGGAAATACAAAACAGTCCCGCCACGGATGACACCAACCAAAACCCACCACAAGTTCCCAGTGCACTAAGAAATGAGTCTTGTTGCACAGATGATAATGCTGTGCTGTCAAAACCACCTTTACGATCAATAAAAGAGAGAACACTTTCTTGCTTTTCATCTACCAAACGGTTTAGTCACTACTTGTGGGCAGACTTCAAGAGCTGCTACAGCAATAGACGGCTGCTAGAATGGTCACTTTGGTAATTTGGTTGGATTATAATTTGAGTAATAGTGTTTTAATATGTCACTAAAAGGCAAGTCCGGCACGTTGGCAAGTTGAATTGAATAAATAGAGAACAATTTAATAATGGTGAAAGTTTTATCAAAATCGAATGAAAAATATGAAAGTTGTAGTGTATTTTTAAACTTTTGCAAAATTTCTTGAAACAGTGATATGTATCAGTTGCTTTCCTCTCATGAATTTGACATAAGATTTTTTGTTCATAGAAACATTGGCCATAACAGTCTGTTTCTGTTCCTGAGAGAAGAAATAAACGCTCTCCACTCTGTTTCAGAGTTTGACAACGTATAGTACAACATTTTGAATTGTACAAGGTGTGTACCTATTCTTACAATGAACTCTAAACAATTTAATCAAAACAACTCTCTGTCTTGAAACAGGTGGGCTTTTGCAACCTGTGGTAATCTGCAAGTAGGCAACTACATCCAAAACCTCTGGGATACCATTTTCACGAAATCAGGCGATGAGAACAGCACTGAAAACGTCTACAACGGGGCAGTGGAGGCTTTGTCAACACTGCTTGGTATGAAAACTCTCTGTAATCTCTTACTTGCCCATCACTCTTGCTCTCTCTCTTTACTAGATGACTTGATTCAGACTTTTTCAAAAATATTCTGTTGTGTAAGCTCTCACTTGCCCATCACTCTTGCTCTCTCTCTCCCTCTCTCTCTCTCTCTCTCTCTCTCTCTCTCTTTACTAGATGACTTGATTCAGACTTTTTCAAAATATTCTTTTGTGTAATCTCTCACTTGCCCATCACTCTTGCTCTCTCCCTCTCTCTCTCTCTCTCTCTCTCTCTCTCTCTCTCTATTAATAAATATTCTGTTGTGTATTTTGGGTTTCCAAGTATGCCAAATCTATCCCAGCCCAATCCCAGTATGTATTTTAGGAAGTACCACTGGTATAGCTGTGTACAGGTACAACATTATCCCAGATCCCTTTAGTGTAAACAGCGCTCCACAGGAAAGGATCCAGATTTAACTTTGTAGAGTCTGTTTTCATGAGGAAATGTTGGCCCTTTTTTTTTGGGGGGGGGGGGGGTTCTGACAGATATTTGGCACCTGTATATCCTGGAAGCCTGTTAATTTCTGGCCTTGTGTAAAAATATGATGCTTTTTTTTATGTTGTAGGTGCTCTGTCTGCATTCCTGATCATGTTCCCACGGGTGGACTGGGACCGGTACGGAGAGCTGCTCCTAGGAGTGGTCTCAATCATCGATGCGATCCTGCTCTTCATCATGGCCTTGACCACCAACATCTGGCTCTGCTATTCATTCTACATCATCTTCAGAGCCTCCTACCAGCTGGTCATCACCATAGCAATGTAAGGCCCTAAAGGCCTCCACACACATTTCAGCTGCAAGCAGTGATATCTTGCATTACATGTACCTGTCACTTTGTGAATGTTTTTATTGGAGAATTGCAATAGTCACAAATTGAACAACATGGAGAAATAAGCTGCAATGCATGTGTGACCATATTTTGGAAGTAACATCTATCGAATAACAAAGACGGCACTTGTCATCCACACATATATATCTTTATATCTTCTTACCCTGCAATAGTGCTGTAGTCAAACGTTTAACCGTCCAGTATCTGCTGACCGTCCATGCCACTATCCATTTTAAATTTGACGGTTTTGTTTTTCTATTTTTTTTTTTTTTTTTTCATTTTGTTATTTAAATTTAAATTTTAACTTTTTTTTGTTGTTGTGGAAAATCAAAAGAAATCACATTACTAACAAAATTAATGTACATAATTAGAAACAAAATCACTGAACGAAAGCGGAGACTTTACTGTCAGGCATGCATTGGAATAATAGATTGGGTTTCATGGACAGTACTTTGTTTATGAAACTAATAATTGTTCCAATGCATGCCCGACATTAAAGTCTCCTTTTTTGTTCAGTGATTTTGTTTCTAAGTATGTAAACCAAAAAAATATATTTGACTAGCGGTTAAACGGAATTGGAAATATCTGTGATGTAACAATACTACTCGGCAAGCGTTGCACCTGTCTTGACCCAGATAATATGTTATAACAATGGCTCAACCTATCTATATCAGTGACATCTCATATTGGGGAATTAATTTTTTCCACTTTCCATTTAGATTCCAGATTGCCAAGCACCTCACCTTAGAGCGCTATGCTTTGGTGTTTGGATGGAACACCTTTGTGGCTCTTGTCCTCGAGACCATACTGACCCTCATTGTGGTGGACTATCGCACTCTAAATCTACCAGCCGATACACAGGTACTATACGCACTGATACCTTCTCTGAAACTCTTAATTTATTGCCTCTTCCCCACCCAAAAATTGTATAATTACTTTGGAACATTCTAAATCTCTTTGCATGCTTTCCTGACTTTTTAGGAATAAGACTCAACTCCAAGTAAACAAAAATCAGGTGTATGGTTGTAAAGTTGGTGTGTCAAGTTTTGGCCTCTATGGCCGCTATGGCTGCTTCCCATTTGGAGGCGGGATAGCTCGGTCGGTAGAGCAGTGGTCTCGTAATCCGGTGACCCAGTGCCCTTTGGTAAGGCAGTAATCCTCATTATCAGGTCCCTCGGAGAGAACCTAATGCCGTCGGCCGTCCGGTTGCTTACTTACAAGCATTTATGCTTTCTTCGCAGTCAGGTAAAATAACCACCACCATTCATTCATTATGACCTCATGTCGGCCCGAAAATAGAGCTCTTGGACTTGCCACTCTACAGATTTTGAAATCACTTTTTAAGGAACTGAAATGAGATTGTGACATTTAATGGAACAGCTGAGAAAGCTTAGTCTCTTAAAGACGACCTATTTCTCCAAGCTATACCGACCTGTAGGTTCTTACCATAAGCCAAAAGATTAAGAGTACGCGTAGGTAGTTGTGGCTGTCTTCTGCTAATGTTTACCATGATCCTTCTCACCATTATAGTTCCTGGTATATGGCGGCTACTTCTACCTCCTTGGCACAGCGTTCTGCATCAAGGCTGTCTACCAGGCGGGGCAACAGGGATGCAGGCAGACCCTCTCCTGTTGCCATGGCAACAATGGGGCGTGTCTGGAGCTCCATAACAGAGTACCTATTCAAGATGAAGATGAAGGAGGAGAAGGAGAAGGAGGAGGAGCAGAGCAGAATCTTGAAGAGGAGGAACAGGAGAAAGGAGCTAAGGAGATTGATGAGGTGAAGGGAGGGGATACAGTTCATTTGGTGATGTAGTTGGAAACGGAGAGAAGTATAGGCCGTTCACATATGCCTCAGTTTACCACAGTGGATATTTTGTGTACCAGATGAATGGCAAGTGGGGATTAAAAGAGAACCCTTAGACGAGCACATCCCTGTATGTCTTAATATGTGAGTACCTTCCTCCCCCCCCCCCTCCCTCGGTACGTATGGAGGCCATTGTTGCATGGCTGCATGCAGCTATGCATCTTTTTCAAGCAGGCTTGTTCTCTTTACTGTCAATGTACTAGCTGCCTCTTGCCATTTATTGACATGCATAGGTTTTTTATGCAGCTTTTCATGTCATGTTTGAACATGACTTAAGAGATATATAGAGAGGGGGTTATAAATTTCAACTCACTTTCCTGTTTGAGTTTGAGTGCAATTTAGAGTGCACTGAGAATTAATTGATAATCAGTATGAATTGAATGTTATTATTTAAATGAAGATGTAACACTTTCTTTATTATTTTTCATGCTTGCTTGAGCAGAGTTTATCGTAAGATATTGAATGTTTCTAAAGGAAAAAAAAAAAATCTCACTTTTGCCTCACTTAATTAGCGCAATACTACAATTTGTATGCAACTTGACAGCAGTAGGTTTTTTTTTATCAGAGCAATTTATGCCATATTTATTAAAAGGTAGAGTTTATTAGGTACTAGTTTTTAGTACTTTATCACAGCAATTTCCTGTGTATAAGGACAGAGTTATATATAATGCATATACTGTACATGTATATGAGTGCAGTACTTTTCTGTAGCCTAATCAAAGTTTTGAGCACTGAACATTCTTTGCCTGCAGAGGTTGGGTGCTATTAGCCTTAGTTCAAAGAGCCTTTCCTGGTCAAAAATACTTTGTCTTTGGCATATAATTGACATGTATTTGAATAATGCATATATTTCTTATAAACATTGAATATATTTTGAAAATGACCCATATAGTTTGCAGTGATCGAATATATTTAGTCGTTTCCCCTAAGCCTATGGCTTTCCATACATGTATATAAAAGACTCCTAGCTATGAAGCCTTTAAATATTACTTTAGGGTCCTATAGCATGTATTTTGCCATTAAACCTAGAAATCTGTAAGAATTTCTTGCAAGCTTTAAGTTTCATGCTGCTAAAGTCACCTCATTGAAATTTTGCAAAGGATTTTGTTTTGTTTTGTTGTGTGTGTGTGAGAAAGTATCTTTCTTTCTTTACTAAAAGGAATTTGTACATGTACCACTAACTATTTTTAGTGCCTCAACCAATTAATAATTTCTGCTTCAAGATATCTGCAACATTGTAAAAAATAAATTTTACTGGTGATTTTTTATATTGCTATGAATGATGTTTTTGGGTGCAATTAACAAATATTTAATTATTAAAGAAAGAAAGATTTACATTCAATCGCATATTCATACATGTAGAGTGTATATTAATGTCAAAATGTAAAGGTATGTGATTATTATTTGAGTTACACTGCAAGTGAATGTATAAAGTTTATTAAGTCATTGAAGATATTTTATGTATTGAACAACTATGGAAAAAGATGATTGTATAAACAATATATTAACATTTAAAAAATGTGTACTAAGCATCATGGAGCTGAAATAAAACCTGATGAAAGTGATAAATCTTATTCGTTACAAGTGTGATCTGTAACTAGCAAGAGAAAGATGCGAGGATCATGAACATGAAATGGAAGTTATGCAGAGAAAAAGAGGGGATAGTGAAGTGGAGGGATGAGTGGAGGGATATATTGATGGAGAGAATTCAGAGTAAGCAGGAGATATATGAAGTTAGAGGAGAAAGAGAGGGAGAGAGTAAGCAGGAGATATATGAAGTAGAGGGGGAGAGAGAGAGGGAGAAGGGAGAGGGGGAGAGTAAGCAGGAGATAGATGAAGTAGAGGGGAGAGAGAGGGAGAGAGTAAGCAGGAGATATATGAAGTAGAGGGGGAGAGAGAGAGGGAGAAGGGAGAGGGGGGAGAGTAAGCAGGAGATAGATGAAGTAGAGGAGAGAGAGAAAGAGAGAGAAGGGAGAGAATAAGCAGGAGATATAGAAGTAGAGGGGAGAGAGAGAAAGAGAGGGGAGAGAGAAGGAGGGAGATAGTAAGCAGGAGATATAGGAAGTAGGGGGAGAGAGAGAGGAGAGAATAAGCAGGAGATATATGAAGTAGGGGGAGAGAGAGAGGAGAGAATAAGCAGGAGATATAGAAGTAGAGGGGAGAGAGAGAAAGAGAGGGGAGAGAGAGGGAGGGAGATAGTAAGCAGGAGATATAGGAAGTAGAGGGGAGGGAGAGAGAAAGAGAAGGGAGAGGGGGAGAGTAAGCAGGAGATATATGAAGTAGAGGGGAGAGAGAGAAAGAGAGGGGAGAGAGGGAGGGAGATAGTAAGCAGGAGATATAGGAAGTAGAGGGGAGGGAGAGAGAAAGAGAAGGGAGAGGGGAGAGTAAGCAGGAGATATATGAAGTAGAGGAGAGAGAGAAAGAGAGAGAAGGGAGAGAATAAGCAGGAGATATAGAAGTAGAGGGGAGAGAGAGAAAGAGAGGGGAGAGAGAGGGAGGGAGATAGTAAGCAGGAGATATAGGAAGTAGAGGGGAGGGAGAGAGAAAGAGAAGGGAGAGGGGGAGTAAGCAGGAGATATATGAAGTAGAGGGGAGAGAGAGAGAGAGGGAGAGAGTAAGCAGGAGATATAGGAAGTAGAGGGGAGGGAGAGAGAAAGAGAAGGGAGAGGGGGAGAGTAAGCAGGAGATATATGAAGTAGAGGAGAGAGAGAAAGAGAGAGAAGGGAGAGAATAAGCAGGAGATATATGAAGTAGAGGGGGAGAGAGAGATGATAAAAGGGAATAGAAATGGAAACAGAAATGGAGTTGAGGGTGATAATTGCTGTTTTTTTCCTTGATGGTGTAACATTGAACGACAAATGAAAGAGGATAAAGGAAGACGGAATAACTTATGAAAGATGATGAGACAGGTACATAGTTGATAAGAAGAGGTGATAATTACATAATTAAACAATTTTGTTAATGCATAAACGATGCACATAAATTGGAAAACACAAACTAAATTCATGTAAAGCCATTTTTAATACATGTATCTTTAAATCTGTCCACATACACAATATAGGACTTAAATTAACCATTCAATAAAGATTTATCATTTTTACATTATAAGAAAGATACTGCACAGTATAGGAAACCAGTCTACATAGAATCTTGTGGATATAGCACATTTTCTTGGTGTATTGAAGCAATATAGTTATCTTGCGGTATTTTACCCTGATATACCCATGTATATAAATGAATACAAATTATGAAAATCTATATTACACCCTGTGAATTTTACCAACATTGATTTGCAATGAAATATTTCAGAGACATACATAGAAAAAGAAGATACCGGTACATGTTTTTTATAAAGACATAATTTACCTGTATGATTTTGTATCGCAATGTAGAAAAGAAAATTGTTCATGAACCAGCCTTGTAATTGAGCGATTGTTTATCAGTAATTTCAGGATAAATTGAAACAAACAAAAATGCAGATGTAGAAGAGAAAGTTAACCATGTACCACCCTTGTACTCAGTTTTCCATTATACAGGAATATATATTTCTGATAAAGGAAAGAGGGTTATTTATTGATACAGTCAAACCTGCTTTAGTGACCACCTGTCTACAAAGACCACACTTTTTGTTTCCCTTGAAAAATGGTTTCTCATTGAAACATGTACTAAAGAAACCTGTATATAAAGACCACCTGCCTATAAAGACCACTTTTCTTGTCTCTCTTGGGTGGTCTTTATATGAGAAGTGACCAGCAACACAGACCGGAGGTATCAGTTTTCAGAATAATACAATATATATAATGAAGTACAAAAGAATATACAAAAACAAAAAAATACAAAGAATTATGCACTACACTGTATGTACTAGTATAGCCTTGTTATTATAAAAAATGATAGGTCTTTATCGAGTCAAAAGTTATCTACAAATTCAATGAAAAATTCATTTAAAATGATTTGTGTACCAACCTTGTAAAAAAATGCAGTAGTAATAACTGGTTTTTAAATGTGCAGGAATATTCTTCATACACAAAAAAACACATGTCAGATAATGGGGAATGGTTATTTACACAGCTTTGTATAAATACAGTCAAACCTGCTTTAGTGACCACCTGTCTACAAAGGCCATATTTGTTGTTTCCTTTGAAAATGGTTTCTCATTGAAGCATGTACTAAAGGAACCTCTCTACAAAGACCACCTGTCTACAAAGGCCACTTTTTGTGTTTCCCTTGGGTGGTCGCTATAGACAGATTTGACTGTAATATGAATAATTGGTCTTCGGCAAGACAAAAGAAATCTACATATTTAAAACAAATAAAAAAGAGGGTTACATAATTTTGGTATCAGCCTAGTAAAGAAAACAACAATTCCCATTCTGAAGAGTCTACAATTCAATTGACAGGCTCCTTACGGCTCATTTACCTACAGTGCAAAGAAAACAGAATCAAGCTTTAAAGTACCACTCACCCAAAAATATCATTCTAAAGATATACATAATTTCAAAATATAAAAGCAAGAATAATAGCACCTGTATATTACATATCCATCATACACAGCTAAAGTAGCATTTTTTATAAAAAATAAGCAGCATTTAAAATATAATGATGATCCTGGCACATCAAAAGCACTACAGTCTACTATTTAATAAAACAGTTGTCGCCATATCATATCAAAGAAAACCTCTATGAAGATATCCTAGTGGTTTCTGGCAAGTTCTCCTCAATTAATCTTCCTCTATTGATTCCTCCTTTAGAGACACCTGGAAGAAAGAAAAGAAGTCAAGAGGAAAACAGAGTCGTTCAATAAAGACAAAGTATATCATATATATGGATAGCATAAGAAAACACTTTTCTTTAAAGTATGGAATCACATGTAGGTGTCACCTCTCCTATTCCACTCTTTTCTTCATCTCCGTTGCTATTTATCTTTCTCTATACCCATTACATCCTCTCCCAAGGTTCTTCAACTCTTGCCAGAAACCATAATGCACCTCAGAATAGTTTTACTAGATAGATGGCGCAATATAGGTGCATTATATTATTATTATTATCATCTCCTATCCACTTTTCATCTTCTTCCTTCTCTCCTTCATCTCCTTCATCTCCTTCATCTCCCTCCTTTGTCTCATTCCCTCCCTATCTCTCTCTCCCTCCCCTTTTATCATCCTACCCTCCCTATGCCCTTCCTCTCTTTCCTTCTATCCTTAATATCCCTCCCTCTCTCTTTTCCCATCCCTTTAATACCTCTAATACAGGACTCGCTGGTCGCCCAGAGACTGTCCGTGGCAGCATTTCCTCATTGACACTTACATCTCATTCCCTCTCATCATCCTATCCCTCGCTATTCATGTTTTCTCATCCCTCTTTCCCCTTCCTCTCCTTACCTCATCCTCTCACCCTCCCTCTCATCCTTCTCTCTTGTTCCTCTTCTTCTCTCACAATTCTATTAGTCTAGCCCTCTCTCTCCTTCTCTCTCATCATCCTCTCTCTCCTTCCTCTATTCATCCTCTTCTTTCCAGGCTCCCACTCTCCTTCCTCTCTCTTCTCCCTCTCCATTTTCTCCTTCCTCTATTGCACTCTCCTCATCCTATCCCACCCTCTCTCTCCCTTCCTCTCCTCATCCTCACTCTCCTCATCCTTCCTCACCTCATCCTCACTCTCCTCTCCTTTACTCTCCTCATCCTATTCCCCCTCTCTTTCTTTCCCTCCCCATTCCTTACCTCCTGTGCACTCTGTGTCAGTCGATCCAGTGACTCGTTGGTTGCTAGGAGACTGGCCTTGGCAGCATTCCTAATCATCAGCTGGAGGCGGATCCTGCCGATGACCTCAAAGGCCTTCCTACTGACCAGCCACTGGAGGTAGAAGGAGCCAAGGCGACGGAGAAGTTGTGCGGATGGCTGGATCATTCGCTGGGGCAGGATGTTGGCCTCTGGTATACCCTGTGATGGTGAAAAGTAACACATTGGAAACGTATTATAATATCTGTTTGGAGATACAAGGGCATTAACTGTGTTAAAATACATGAATTAACACCTTTGAGGCTATAACAAAATAATAAAAATCTTATTTGCCAGGTGAAGCCTCGTCAGCATCAATGCTGTTATGACCTCTATTATGACCCCAGTAATTGCCAGGTATCCACTTACACGGGGTGGAGGGTGGCAAATGTAGAATAATGACTTGTCAAAGGATGTTAGTGCCGGGCTGCGACTTGAACCCTCAGCCCTTGGATTGAGAGTCACATGAATGAACCACTAGCTACACCACAACAACTCCAAAGTGATGATATAGTTGAATGTCCACTGATGATTTTAATTATAAGTGAACGGGATAAACTTGATCAAACATGCAATATCCTGTGATCGAACTTGCATTATCCATTTTTGGTTACACAAAAAACTGTACTGTGGGAGAAGCAAAAGGCGAATGATACCAACATTAGAGGTCAGGTGATGTGTAATTGGCCTATCAAATGCCTAGATACTTTGTAAATGTTATATAATGTTTAAAGCAAGAAGATCATGTGTCTGTAAGTATTAGATAATAAGGTTAGGGTTAGTCATAGATCAAAACAAGGCCACATTTAAACGTGCAGGCCTTAAATTTCGTCATTTTTAGGGCAAGGCCAGTTTGGCCTTGAGTACCTCATATTTTTAAGGGCACCAAGGCCAAAATATTTTTACAAAAAGGGCATCGAGGCCAAAATATTTTACAAAAAAATTGATTCTATTTTTGTTAGATGTCATGTGTATTTTATGAAACTTGTGCGGGATCAATTTCCCATGACTTTTAGCACCAGCTTCTTCACAGAATGTATAGAGGTCTACGGTACATACAAACAAGGTGGCGGCCCGCAAGCCTTAGATTTAGCAGCCAGGAGCAAGGGGCAATTTTTTTTTTAAGTTGCCCTTTGCCACGGGAATTTACCAGAGCGAGGGGCAATTTTCCAAAAACAGATAGGCCCCTTATCTAATCATAAGTTCAAAGAGAGTCTACAAATGTTATAGGTATGTTACAATGTGTGTGCTTTCGCCATGAAGGTTTCTGCCATGGGGCTGTTATGCACTATTGGAGACCAATTTGGATAGCCTACGTAAATGTGATCTTTTAATGGGTGATTAGATTTTTGTTTCCTGATTTCTATTGGATGAGAAGAATGACATTGTTATCTTTCATTTCATACTAAACTTTTTATGATTTATGTTTTCGGCAGTTTGTTTTGCTGCACCGTTTCACAAGAGCCGTGTTTAGTGCCATTCTGTACCCTGATCCCATGTACAGGATTTGAAAAAAAGTATCTAGGATGATTGGTTAACATGTGAATTTGCTTTTGGTGAAATTTCAGCAAAATCTATCGATGAGAAATATGTTTTTTTGGATGAGGAATGTGAAAATGTCACTCAAAAATGATGGCCCGATTAGCGATTTTCGTGTATTTACATACATTTTGGGGCGATTTTATGTAATGAAATAGAATCTTTCGGTCACATTTGAGATCACAACTGTTGGTTTAAAAACAAAGGAAAACAAAGCAATTAAATACATGATTTCTGTGCGTTTAAAATTGGCATAACTCTCTTATTACTGGGGCTATTACGATGAATGAGGCATCAAATAAAAGGTCTTATCAAGCTCTGTCTAATGGCATAAAGCAAGAGCTTGAATTCTGAGATTTAATTTTTTTGTAACATCCCTAAATGTTAATTTCATAATCAATAGATCGAACGATCAATTTAATAACTTTTTAATCTGAACAATATGAACAGGAAAGATTGATTAAGAACATCAAACTTGCACATTAAACAGTATTTTAAAGTAACTAAAAATAGTGATGAGCAAATGAATAAATAAATTGTCAATTTCACAAACATCGAAAGTCAGAAGGACTTGGCAAGTTTACCGGGCCGGGTATCCCAAATCAAAATCGCACCTCACACACAAACCTTCCGCCACTCTCTCGGTAGTAGGAGCAAATTTGAAGAAATTATCTTTTTAACTGTTGTATAGAAAGGTCTAGATAGGCCTAACTAATGAAATAAGATGTAAAAATGTCCTTATAGACATTCGACAGCTGGAAGTGACACGCTCAGCTCAGTTGCGTAACGTGCATTCACGAAACCAAAATCGTTCCTCGCAGACACACTCTCGCCACTTTTGGTGGGATGCTGTCGGGCTGGAAGTTTGCCAGCGAAACCGATGCACCCTCGGAGATTCGCAGCGCGTAATTTTACCGGGACTCGAAACGTTCGTCTTGGGAAGCTGGCGGGGTAGCTTTTTGAAGCGAGGTCGGCTGGTGGCAAAATGAGAGTAACTACGATCGAGAACATCGTAGGTGTTCTTAACTTATTAATAAGATAATTCTAAATTCTATTTGAGATAAAATAATAAACTAGACCTACAAACAAACCTCGACAGATCTCTAATGACTATTTGAATGCTTGTTTATTTCTCCATTTGACGATTTGTTTTCTTGATCCTGGGGGACCTGGCATTCGATTTGTACGTACGTCAAATGCATGTGCGTGCGTCAAAAGCATGCTCCATAATAATATGCATATCATGCGATCGCATGAACGTACGTACGTGCGCTAGCGCATTGCCTATATAATAACAAAGGGCGCATTTTCACGGCATTTGCGCCTTATTAAAGCACTAAATACGAAGCTAGAAGAGAGCTCGTGGGCGGCAGACTGTTCGTGATTCGTGTATTTTTACTGTTCTAATAATTTATGGGCGCATTTTCACGGAAAACACTTGCGCCTTGCCGTCTAGTTTTAGATGATTATGGGCGCAATTGGTGGTTTTATGTGCGCAAATTTAAAAAAAAGGGCACGTCCAGTTGGAAAAAAAGGCACGTCGGCCAGTTTGAAAAAAAGGGCACGGCCTTTTTGGCCGTGAATTTATCTTTTTGGGGAGGGCACTGCGGCCAGTCATAGGGGCATCGACGGCCTGGCCGTCGATGGCCGTCGATTAATTTAAGGCCTGAACGTGACATGGTAAAACTTTTTTTTTAACACTGCCATGGCAAATATAACATGACATAATCATTCACATTTCTGCATGTTATAACACAGATAACTGAGCATTTGCAGAGCCGTTGTTGCATATAGGAACTTTGTTTCCATGGTTACTTGCCATTCACAAGCAGTATGGTATTCATTTTGCTGCAGCAGATTTTTTAAAACAAGTTTTGAACGTACCTCCAGCTGTATGTGAACAAACTCATCTAGTTCTTCCTTCTGTTCAGACCAGTCTTCACCTGTCCCTTCCATCTTCTCTTTCATCTCAATCTCCACCATCTAAAACACAACAACAAGTTATTTTAACACATTTGTGGCTTACACCCAGTAAATAAGATCGATTGATCGATCTGTATTAAAAAAACAAGTCAGAAAAAATCTTGGAACCAGCGGGACTTGGACCTGCATCTACTGCTTGCTTGGCAGCGACTCTACCACCAGGCCATCACTGGTCGATCAATCGATCTTACTCACTGGGTGTAAGCCACAAATATGTTTAAATACTTTAAATTTCTCCCAGGAAGCATTACATTTATAAAAGAACAAGAAGTGTTCTTTGGTTTTCAAGGAACAATTGCAGAATACACCACAACACTTACAAGCATCCTTAGCCCTAAACCTGACACTAATCCCAATCCTACCCTTAACCCTGACCCTAATCCTGACCTTAACTCCGAACCTAGGGCCTAAACATGACTCTAACTTGAAACCTGACCCTAATTCTAAACCTAACATATGCTTATCCTAGTTCACTGTACACATGTGTACATAGGTATTGCAAAGGGTGCTACACAGAATAATTTTTTCATGAGATAATGAAAAAATGAGTGTCAAATTTGAAAGAATATATATATATATATATATATACAATTTAAATGACAAAATCATATGGTCATGATTTAAAAGTCGTTATTTTTCTTACCTGTTTTGTGTCAATTATCTTATCTTTTTTTTGAGTATTTTTTCATGAGATATGCAAAACTAAACTTTGACCCGGCATCTCACCTCTGCTGTTTCCTTGATGATAACTGGAATGTTGAGGTCTAGATGGTGTGTTTCACAGAGGTATCTGCATTCCACCTCTAGCTGGTTCAGTGATGCACATGCAGAATTCAAAGCCTGCATGATATTAGAAAGTTCGTAACTTGAGATATACCATATTCCTCAAAATAATTCAGATTCAGCCTGAAATATCATATAATCGGCAAATACAGATACAGTACACCTCACTTTACTGTCTATATCGTTTTAATTTGACATTTTCATCAATCAAATCTGGCCATGGACAGCTCAACAGCTGTATTTTTTTCCTAGATCATGTTAAATTTCCCTCTGCTCCAGTTTAGAAAGAAACAGATTATAGGTTCGGCTGAGTGCTGATTTCGACACGTTTTTAACAATGGCCAGTGTTCAGTAATCCATGATCATATTTCGATAAGCGATCTATCACATCAAATAAAATATCATCTATCATTTTGAATTGATACATTTCATCAATTTCCATTGATTTTCAAAATATTGAGGCCTATATAGACATTGGTTTTCTGATTTTTCTCACTCACACAGTGCATGTGATAATACTACAGTGCATTTTTCAAAAATGAATGTTTCTTCCAAAAATATAATTTAATGATTATGAAGTCATGGAATACCTTTTGCTGAATTTGTCAATGTTCTCACATCATAAATGTCAAGACAGATATTTCTATATAATATTGAAATTATACTTTTTGTAAAGCACAGCCATACAAGAAAACAATTAGCAATCAATAAAGCACATGAATATTGTATTATTGATGGGGGGGGGGGAAGGATAATAATGAACAATGACACTGATTTGAAAAGCTGACTCATTTACCTCTGTCTCTAAAAAATCCATGATTTGTTGATGAACAGTGTTTGGTGTGATTTGTTTGAGTTGAGCTTGGAGTTGCTTGAACCGTGTGTCCATGTCCATGTAGTATCTCTGTTGACACTGATAAAAACAGTTTGAAAACAAATCAAAATGAATCAGCTGATAAAGAACCAACATGAAATACGCAGGTTAATGTTGTTTTTAAAAAAATGAATATTCAAAATTAGATTATAGAGGTGTTGTGGTCCAGTGGATAAGTCTCCGGACTGTGCATGAACCAAGGTACAGGGTTCGAATCCCTGCCACAACACTAACATCCTTTGGCAAGATGGTAATCTATATTTGCACACTCTACCCAGGCGAGGTAAATAGGTACATGGTAGGATTATTCCTTGAATTGTACTGAGCACTGATAAGGGCTGTCGAAGCCAAAGCTAGTGTAATAATTACCAACGCTCTTTTTATTATCATAATGTTCTATTCCCTATACAAGAACATATTATTATTATACTGTTTAGGTATTAAAATGGGACTCCCCCTCCCCTGCACTCCTCCACCTCCTCAACAATCCCCTATTCCCTCTCCCAATCCTTCCCCTACATTTCCCCCTTGTCATACACTCACCTTCCATCACAACAAACCACATATCTTGATGATCGATGGCCAAATGACCTGGGCCCTGTTTTATAAAACTTGTTATCAATAACAAGTACCAATATCTCTTATAAGCTACTGAAAACATGCCATTTGATTGGCTGAGAGCAAATTTGTCATAGATAATTAGCATTTTTTATTGATAACAATTAAGTTTTATGAAACAGGGCCCAGACCTGATAACCTGGCCTGAAGTTGAGAGCAAATATCTTTCCGGTAAGATATAAGAGTAACCATCAGAGAACAAAGATGGGTCATTGACCCCTTCCCTCCATGTCCCCTTCACAAATGTAGTCTTCCCCATTCCCCCTTCCTTCACAGGAATAAACGTACCTTGAGAATGTTTTTGAGTAATATGACTTGGCCTTGGGTTTGAGGGTGGAGTTCTTTGAGACGAGATATGACCGCTACGAACACAGACAGGTGATGGGAAAGCTCACTCTACAATTAAGGCAAACAAATAAATATACATGTATCAAAAACGCACAATCAGGGCTCATATAATTAATCATACTCATTATATCAAATCCTTAATTTTATCAAAGTGACCAGCAATCTTATAATAAACAGACAGGTAAAAGATGTAATTCTCTTCCTTTTGTGTAATATCAAATAAATACAGAGAATAAGAGAAAAAGATAAATTCATTCATTTAACAGGTTGATTAATGCTAAAATGTACAAAAATGCATAAACCAGTCTTTCTTGAGAGACTATAGTTTATACATTTGTATTATTATGTACCATCTTCATGCATTCTAGCATATCTTACCCCATTGAATATATGATTTTTTTACAAACCTTTTTTCCCATTTCTATAGAACCAAACCAAAATTTATCTTGCACAATAGTATTAAGTAAACAGGATAACACAGCCAGTTTTGTATAAATCAAAGTTTTGCTAAGGTTGTATTCTCAAGGTTGTTTCTGTGTGCTATGCAAATTGTAAATTTGACCATGACTTATTACTCACATGGGGAAAAACCCTATTCATATTCATATTCAAATTTATTGTCCAATGATTGGAAATTTGTTTCATTTGCATGTCAGTACAAGATTACAGATTATAAACATCAATAAGATACATATGGGTACAGAGTAGAACATTTAACTTGGACATAGGTAACAACAAATGCGATAGTTCAACATGCAGACTAAAATTCGATTCATAAATTCAGACTAAGTAGTTAAATTCAGTTCAAGTTCGGATTAAATTCATTCGCAATTCAGATTAAATACAATTAAAAACTTAAACCAATTCAATTCGTAATTCAGATCAAATCCATTTCAAATCCCGATCACATTCAATTCGTAATTCAAATTAAAATATAATTAACAAAATCAAATCACATTCAATTTATAATTCAAACTAAGTAGTAAAATTAAATATCTTAATTCGGGTTAAATTAAGTTCACAATTCAAATTCAATACAATTCAATGTATGATGTAATCTATCATTGCTATTCCCCAAGCAAATTTTGCCAACATCATATTATTCATTGAAAAGGTTACCTGATATTTAGTGAGCTGCTCTTTATTGTGCGAGTCTGGTTCAATTGTGACCTCAGGACCTCTCGTTTTGGCCTCCACCTTAGCCACAGTCTCCTGGAACTGTAAATATGAGGATTGTTTGAGAGAAGAGAGGAGTAATCAAAAGAAAGGAAGAAACAGAGGAAATTCTATGATGGCCGGGAGGTTAAAATCTAATCTAATTCAATTTGGGTCTCATGCTCTTCATTATTTTTGTGAGCACACTTTATGTGTGCATACATCAACTGGTTTACTCACACAAGTTGCTTTTAAAACTAATGATAATGCATTTACATTTACATCAACTCTTTATCAAGAACTTATTCGAAGCTCATATTCTGAATAATGCATAAGTTTTTTTTATTTTTTGAGGCTTTCATTTTTGTGAATTTCATGAAAATATACTGACAAGTGCATATTGTACGTAGCAATTATTAATTATCGTGAAAACAACATCTGTGTCCTTGTCATTATATCTGTATGCAAAAAAAAAAATCAGCTTAAGCAGTGTAGCATAGCTGCATTAAAACCCTCAATATACACGAGCTAAGTGTTAAGTAAAGTTTTTACTTAAATTGTACCAATCGCGTAAAGAAATAAAGAACTTATGTACAGCTAGAATGTATAAAATCAACCTAAAAATATAATCTGGTATTATATGTGGTAACAGATACCGGTAAAGAGTATGAAGAAAATAAAGAACATAAAACATAGCGCATGGACCCGGGGGCTGAATTGGGCCCGTATTGCATACAAGCACATATGTGTGTGTTGACTAGTCTCAAAAAATTGTTTTTATGTTAACCAAGAGTGTATTTAAAGATAAACTCCAGTTCTGGTAAAAAAAAAAAAAAATTAATTCTCACAGAATCAAACGAAACTTACACTGAATGTTCAAGATTACAAATAAATGACATCTGCCGAACAATTTTGGAAGAAAATGTATACTGGCTGAGTAATGAGCATAGAAAGACAAGGAAATCAAGGTAGTACTAGCCCCGACACCATGTATGTTGTCCCATATATAGCTTTCTGTGTACAGTGCTTTTAACTTAATTAACCAAGACTGGGCCAAGTTTCTTATCATTTTGATGATTCCAGAACCTTGCAGTACACACCAATACTTATATGCTAGATGACCTTTTCTGATCGATCCAACAACGTTTCTTTCAAAATGCAATCGCATGACCATAACTGGTCTTTATCTTCAAACTACAATCTCTTTGTAGCAGTAATAATTGAAGCAGATATTTCAAATACAGTACAGCAGCATGGAACCGGGCCCTTATTAAATCAAGAGCAAAACATATTTTTGTTGATTTTTGTTGGTACACTGTAATTTCCACCAATCAACTGACCTCGGGAAGCTGATGGTCAATCTTTGACCGTATGCTCATGATATCTTGATAAATGGCCATCATCTGTTCCCAGCAGAGATTGACCAAGCCCTGACCTTGGGTCAATCGCTGGTACTCCTGGACCTGGATGATTTGGAGCTGGTCTTGACAGGGTTGGCATACTCGTAGGTAGAGACGATGGTCAGGTTCAACCTCGGGGCTCTGAGTGAGGAGTATACATTCAAGATTCAAGATTTTATTGTCCATATATAATACAGAAATTTGTTTTCCATTGGTGTATTAACACAAGACAAGAACATGGTGTCGTGTGCTGAAAGCCAGAAGGGCGTCAAGACTCTATAAGAAAAAGTCTATGAGCAGGTACGGTCCTCCGGCTTTCTGCACAAAACATGACAAGACTATGACTTATACATAGCAAGCATTTTAAATACAATTCTGAATCACATCATGAATAAATTCAGGTATGAATATAAATGTGAATATGAAAGTAGAATAGGAGCAGCATCACAATCGAAATACGAGCTGTAGGAGAAAGTAAAAGAGAGCTCAAGCTCGAAGGACTGATAAAAAAGAGAAATATAGAGAGAGTTGGTAAGGGTCCAAAGGGAAAGGGGAGATAAAGAGAAGAAGAGATAGCATAATATCCAATCAGTATAGGGAACATTCATGAACATTTTTAAGCCCTGAATGTATATCTACACACATAAGATTTGACTTGATAGAGAAGTTTCTCTAATACTTCCCTAATGCTTGATCTTATATCATTTCTTATATTCTGATGAGTAAATTTGCCCAAAATATCATCAAATTTAAACAAGAACACTCTAATATTCTAAATTTTCACAAGAAGAGGGTACCAAGTCATTCTGACATTGAAATATGAGCCTGGCCCAGGTTTGTGCACTCATTCAATTTACACACAATACATAATTTTGTACATGAAAGGTGACATTTTGAGGCTTGTAAATATAAACTACTATAAATGTTGACCTTTTATCAGTTCAACTCAGTTTTGCATGAACACTCACCCCTACAACTCTGATGAGGGCCCAGCGAGCATGAGACCCTGCCAGGGCCTGGTCCACTGGGTCTGGTTTGTAGAGGAGCAGGTCCAGCGTGGACTGGGCCTTACAGACCAGCTTACCACAGACACGGCAGTTGTGCTGTTGCTCTAGGGCTGGGTATGGACGATCACAGCACTGGCATGCAGCTCCCATGCTCTTGTAGTGGAAGGAAAGGATGAATGGAGAGAAGATTTACAGAGGAGGTTCAAGTTGTAGTTTTATATTTTTGAGCCTTTTCATTCTTTTTATTCTTAAATAGACAGAAAAAATCATATAACAATGAAATATGCCTCAGAAGTGCTCTCATACTTCAAATATGACTTGAAAAATTAAAAAAAAATAGATATGTGTCCTGTGCTTTCTTATGGTTTGCAATTTTCAGCAAGATATGTTTTTATTTGCCAAAATTGTCATGACATCAAAACCTCATGACATAAATATACTCCCATTAAATACATGACCAAATATTTAGAACAACTCCTGGAGAGCTCCCCTTACTATGACATTTCATCATCGGTAATAGTAATATTAATAATAATAATCCGTTTATATAGCACTTAATACAAAAGTCTCTAAGCGCTTTACATATATAGTAGGTAGGCAAGGAGCTTTCCGGTAGGCAATGTGATCTCCAAACAACATTTATATACAGAATTCTAACTAACCACCCAAGTAGGAGGCTTCTGCCAATCTGGGACTTCTCTTTTCTTCCATGTCTCCGCTTTCTGGAGGTCTGTCACACCCTTCTTGACCCGCCCTGGTACCTCGGCCACGCCCTTGGCAACCCTTCCAGGAGCCTTGGGGAGGTCCATCACACTCTGTTTCATCCATCTTGGAGCGTTCTGAATCCCGCTTACCCCTTGCCGCATCGCAAACATACCCTTGAAGAGCGACGATGCCAGCAGCTCCCGGTGCTTCCGGACTTGGGGCGGGATGGCTGCAGTTGGGTCCTCTGAGGCAGAGGATGTATTTCGAGGAGGTCGGGTGGAAGGGGTTGGGGGCGGAGGCTTGTAATGGACTTCAAAGCCCTCTACCAGGTTCTTCAGATTGCGAAGAATGGGCGGTCTGAGGAAGGAAGAGACAGATGCTTTCAAATCACATTAAAACAAAGGGACCATAAGTTTATCTCTTAGATTTTGAACCCAAATCTTTCCATCAAATTGCCATCTTTTACACTCACCTTAGCATTATAACAAAGCATAACATAGTTTGGAGAGCACTTAATTCATAACAATTTTACAGCTTTCGTCAAGTTTGTTATCATCAAATCAGAAAACACTGATATTCAGAAAATATAGGAGAATAAAAAACAAAAAGCAGACAAGAATAAGAGTATGTTTATAATAAAAGTAGGAAGGATCAATGCATATTTCCAAAAGGGTTCCCAATAATTTAATTTACAACAGCCCCTGTTAAAAAAAATAATATGAATGGTTCAGAGCTAGGGTTTGGGGCCATGTTTTTTTTGTAACTTTTCTTTATTCTTAGTAATAGGACAGCAAGAGATCATATACCTTTCCCACAAGGGTCAAAACTGGTTTGTACGTACCAGGGGGTGTTTCACAAAGATCTTAAGTTGAACTTATCTCTAAGTTAGACTTAACAATTATGGAAAGCCGTTAGCATCATTGAAGATATTTTGTAAAAGTTATTTCAAGAGGCATAAAATGTTGATTCAGGTCATTCATATTGTCTATTATCAAGGAGATTTCATGTTCTTGATATGGAATTTATGAAAAGTCTAAAATACTTGAATTTTTGTTTTTGAATATATTTTACATGGCTCTCCATCATATTTAAAGAGAATGTTGAGTTCTGGCCATGTGATTGCATTGTCAAAGATACAGTATGGAATCGATCAGAAAAGTTTGATCATCTAGCTGCTTTCTAGCATATATTGGTGTATACTGCATGGTTCTGAAATCATCAAAATGATAAGAAATTTTACCCAGTCTTGGTAAAGTTACAAGCACTGTAGGCCTACACAGAAAGGTGTATATGGGACTACATGTATATGTGGCATAAATATCTGTCCAGACTTTTATCCTGTTAGTGTTACATGCAATATTTAGAATATTAAGGCATTTGAAGAGCCCTGCTTTTTAAGGAACATTTTTAATCTGATGTTCTTCCACACTTGCATAATAACAATGATAAAGCTCACAAATTGTTTTTCACCCCTTCCCAGAACTCAACCTTCTCTGTAAGTCCAACTTAGAGTTAATTTCGACTTGGGATCTTTGTGAAACACCCCCCAGGACCCTTACGATAGCTGAAGTGTGTGCCCTGTATGATACATACCTGGTCAGGACTTTGCTCTCTAGATGCTTTGCTGCTCGCCATCCTTCAAAGTAATCCGTTTGGGTTCGACTGAATCCCACGGTTTGAGGTTCATAGTAGTAGCATTTCTCACACACCTAATCATACAGATATCAGTGTGAATATACAGGTGTAATAATAATAATAATAATAATAATAATAATAATAATCTTTTAATGTCCACTCCAAATTTTATTAAGTTAAACCGAAAATGGAAATTCTTTTTGCCCAATTGATCGTGAGCCCGGCAAACTGAGCAGCGCCAGATCGACGTTGCTCTATCCCTTAGTGTATACTTATATGGAGAATGAAAGTTCCTTATTCATAACATTTTATGGGAAAAAAAATCTAGTTGAATACTTTATTTGTAAATATATCTCTACAGTGAAAGCAGTGGATGCACATGAGTTAGGGCAACAGTGTTCTAGTACTTCACTTTGGTGCATTTTCCTTTAATGTTCTCTTCACATTATTTTTACTGTACATATATTCCTCTTCCTTCAGAGTACTTTATCTGTTCTTCTTTTTAGATGAACAAAATAACATAATGATAACAATAACGATGAAAGTAAACAAGACGACAATAGAAACAAAACAACAACAACCAGGGACCCGTTTCACAAAGCCTGTTTTCAATGACAAATGACTCAAATCAGTGACAAATCTGCTGATAACCAATCAGAAGCAAGGATTTCAGTAGCTTATAACAAAAACTGTCATTAGCACTGATGACAAGTTTTGTGAAACGCCCCGCAGCTCTCACCTTGAAAGGCCAGCCATTGGGATCATATGCTGCATTTGGAGAAAGCAGTCGCTGGAACTTGGTGCACTGTGCACAAAAAATATTCCCACATCTGCAGTAAGAAGAAATAACCACAAATAAAATAAGAAATACAGAAATTCAATGGTAAAAGAAACAGTGAACAGAACCCTGATTGCATGAAACGTTTAACAGTAATACTGGCAATTCTTGACAAAGTCCTTTTGCGAAAGACACTGAGAAGACAGAGTAATACCAAAGACACAAGTTCCTTGATCAACACACTATGTTATTATGCTTTCCAAAATGCGTTTTCAAATAATTTAAACTAGATTTTACTTTGAATGATTCAACAACTTTCATTTCTGCCTCGAAGAAGTTATGGTACTACCTTTATAATAGTGAATTAACATGCTTTTATTTGACATTGAATACAAATTCTAATGAATTATTTGAATGTTTCCATATATGAAATCAAAGGATACATCTATGTTTGGTATGTTGTAGAGTGTTCAGGATATGTACCCTGCATCTACCAACAATTTGCTTTTATCCCCTATTATAGCTCCTTTGTTGTGCACATTTGATCAATAAAACAACAAATGAAAACAAAATATTCAAAGAAACACCAAAACAAGCAGCATTGATATTAATTTAGGCATGCATGATGTACACACACACACACTTATATGTGTATACCCACCACCACCTGCCACTGCTCCAGCCATGAATGATGATTTGAATGATGATAACAAGCATGGTCCTATAAATAAATAATATCAATAATATAATATCAATAAATATCACAACATTTACACATTGCCATATTTTTCTAAGAGATGATAGATAAAGAGAGAAAGAGGGAAAAGCCGTCTTTTGCTGATGTATTTTGTATATTGATATTTTTTCCTTAGGTCCTAAGGCTCCTTCAGATAAGATACAGTAACCCACCACAAAAACATGTAAATAAATTGGAACTACACACAACCAAGATCATCCATGCATTTACTTAGCTCTATATAAGATACAGATAAGTCCAGCATATTTACATTTAAATCATCATATTTTTTAAATGCAGCAGTTTTGCCACATCATATTTGGTAGGGTTATATCAACATGATGTAACTATAAAGTTTGGGCAAAAAATATGACGGTGTCCATGTAACGTAGGTATGAGATCTTCTACTACACATGGGAGATGAATGTATCTGTTGAAGATTTTTATGCAGTGAATAGTAGTGCCCTGCCACAATCGTTCCTGTTTCAGTAGCTATTTTTCAAAATCATTGCTGAATACACATTTCTCTTTTTACCACCGTTACTTGGACACCATATTCATATAACATTACATAAACGTTGGGTTCATAATATTGATTCACCATGAAGCTGAGTACTTCTGAAGATAGTTGGCAATGCTTTTTATGCAAAACTCAATTTGAGCAAACATTGTTACAGTCAATAGGAGACATAGTTTCTCACTTCTGGTATGTCACAAAGAGTGCCCCAACTTTCTGGACGGACCCAATTATCAGATATGTACCACATATACCATCTGAGATGTAATATGTAATGTAATTTTATGAACAAGGTAACATGGATTTGCTTTATGACTGCAGTAGATATGTATATGAATAACATGCATCCTTTCAAAGTGAAAATGTAAGAGGAATATATGAAGTGATATTAAAACTGTATATTTTTCAATGATGTAATATAGGAAAGAGGGCATGGTGTGAGCAGAAGAATATATGGAACAGAGATAGTAAGAAAAGGAGAGAGAAAGAGAAAGAGAAAGAGAGATGATAAAGAGAAAGGAGACAGAGAGAGGGGGAGAGAGAGAGAGAGAGAGAGAGAGAGAGTGAGGGATCTGGGCTTCAAGAGGGAATGCCAAGACACTACTGATAAATTAAAGGAAAGGAAACAATCTAGAAAATGGTAAGCATTGGTGTAATTGACACAATGATTTTAAATACAGGTACATGAAAAGAAAATGATTCAAATGAATATTGTAAAATGAATCTTTTCATAAAAAGAATACTTTGAAAATGAAATGTGCAAGCATTTTTTGTTCTTCTTCCTCAAAATGATAGTGGGCACCTGGAAGGATAAATTCCTTGAAATACAGATTACGCACAATTAACAGTTGCTAGAGCTAACCACATCATCCAATTTAAACTTTGGCAGAAGCAAATTAATTACTGGTGTTCTGCACACAGAAATAGGTATATAGGACTGCAGACACATTTGAAGAGTGGTCCAATCCTTTTCAGGGGACATTTCTATTATGATATTCTTTCATTTGAAATGGCATAAAAAGAATGAGAAAGCCCACAACTTATGTTTCATAGTTTCATCTTTACCATGCAGCCAGACGTCTAACTTATTTTTAAAGATGTGAATGTCTACATACCTTCGACAATGGTGTTTAGACGTAGCCCACAGGCCTCTCTTGCATACCGGATTGCTACAGACATGACACTCAGAACTCTTCTTCCAATGAAGCCGAGCTGTCGATGTTTACAACAAAAAATCGACAGACAAATATTGAAAGGTACTCAGGCATGTAAGTAAATTTTTTAATATAAATGATGAAACATATCTACCATATTTATTTCACTCAATGATACTTTTTCCAGTGGTGAATTTGTTAAATAAATATGTCCTTCGTAGATTGAGAAATTGTTTGCCTACAATTATCCCTAACTAAATATTTTTTTTTACAATTTGAGCATTTTTCCTTTTTGAATAAAATCCCTAGCTGTGCTTTATAAATGTTTTAATTCTTTGCTTACTAATACTCTGCACCGTAGATGTTCATATCGACTCCAACTATGGACAATCCTCAAATCCTTGCAAAACCAATTTGAAGCCAAGATATTTTAGATAATTCACAATTTTGCATATATATATATATATATATATATATATATATATAGGCTATAGAGCCAGAAAGAGAACTCTGACACAAGAATCACTTTAGTTTCAAAATTGTTACTGTTTATTTTCTGATCACCTTCAAGAACAATTTGACAACTTGGCATTAAAGGGGCACGTTCCCGCCAGTGTAGTTATCGGAACATGCCATCTGTGTAAGAGCCGTATTCTGTTGGTGTCAATAGGCAGCTATAGCACCGTCCACCAGCGCGTATGTATTTTGAACGCCCTCTGGAATACGGGGAACATGCCCTTTAATTGGTTTCCAAATCAAACTGAGAATGTCTTTGCTTACTAATATTCTTCACGGTGGATGCAGGCATCTCAAATTCTGGACACTCCTCAAACTTTTCTAGACCTTCCTGGATCAAGTCCCACTCATCACTGACCTCCGAAGGGACCTTTGACCCCTTGTGACCTTCAAAAAGTCTGGTGAGTGCTGGGAAATTGAACATATTCAAGCAGGACTAAAGCAGATCCTTTCTATCAGTGTCTAAAGTAATGGAGATTGGAGGAAGAAGGAACATACAATTACAAACAATTTGGAAAGTACATTCATGGTTCTTAAGTGAATCGAAAATATTAAAAAAAAAAAGAAAATTGACAGATTAAATGAGAAATTATTCAAGACATGCAATGATGCAACATTGTAAACTAAAAAAGCAATTGTGTTGTTTAAATTTCATTGATAATATGGTGAAAATACGCGCAATAGGTAATCTTCAGCTGAAATAAACACAGCAAAGTAGGAATGGTTCCATTAGAGGGGACAAACAAGCCCAATTAAGACACCAGCATTACCAGGGTTGTACTAGTAATGCTCACTCTCCCGGCCCAGCTTACAATTTTCAGGATAATATAGGGCTATATTTCTGTGCCTACAATAAATGTGAGTTAAAAGTATAGAAGAAAAATGCAGGAAAGGCCTGAAAATTAGAAAGAGGTCAAGCATCAACTTTGTAATGTGATCTGTTACGCTCGAATATAACTCACGTAACTATACTGTATGTATGTGTCCACCTGTACTTTTTATCTTTCTTTTTTATGTTATGTGACATTTGAAAGAAAGATGAATAAATATCTTCTTATCTTAACTTATTATCTTCTTATCTAACTCATTAAGCATGTCTAAAAATTTAAGCATGTCTAGAAATTAACTCATTCAGCTTAGATCGATCTATTACTGTGATAATGATCAGTTCCCTTCTTATTTATTATGTACATCAAGAAAATGACAAGATAATGAGAGTCAATACTATACTTCATGTACTCATAGAAGATGCTAAGCTAAGCTAAGTCACATGCATGTAGATGATTGCATATGTAGATGATGAGCTGAGCTGAGTAACAAGATTTGTCGGGGGCCCGTCTGTGTGGGCCCTCCCGCCGCTCCCGCCTGCGTGGCCGTGGGCGTGGAGGGCTGCTGCTAGCTGCTCAGCTTAGCTCTAGCTCAGCCTAAGCGCAAGTTACATTGACGATAATTTTACCTACTGCGTGTTCTCCAAATGTAGCGAAACATTCAAATGAGATCTTTAAGAAGTATAAAATCACATATAACTGCAGATAAAAAATTACATTTACCCCATACAGCATACAGTAACACTAACAGATGCTAGCGCTTATTTATGTTTACTTCCTGTTTCATGGCACAAGAGGGCGTTTAGGGGGCAGTCGCTCAGGAATAACTTTTTTTCCTCTACTGTTATTTTGATTATACACTGATACATGCAAGACTTTTTTTCCTTTTTTTTCCCTTTATGTTCATTGATTAATGTAACTTATGAAATGTCTTGTATTAAAGAACTTGTTTTATATTGCTTATCTTGATAATTTCTTGTTATGTGAATTTTTTGCTATGTGAAATTATGAGGAAGGAAATAAAATATCATTTAAAACAAAAAAATCTACACTTTAAACCTTCCTCTACGGTTATTTTGATTATACACTGTTACATGCAAGAATTTTTTCCCCCTTTTTTTTCTATGTTCATTGATTGATGTAACTCATGAAATGTCTTGTATCAAAGATCTTGTTTTATATTGCTTAATTTGATAATTTCTTGTTATGTGAATTTCTTGTTATGTGAAATTATGAGGAAGGAAATAAAATATCATTTAAAAACAAAGCCACCTAAAAGTTAGACAGTTTCAACAAATAAACATTTGTATTTTTCTAAAATATAATGTTTCTGCAAGGTTAAATGTGGGAATTTGTGTTTTAAAAAAATGTAATGGATAGAGTGACGCAAAACAGTAAAAGATTCTGTGTCAGAATAATGAATCAACACCTTAATTGTTTGTATAGTCTATATCAATGACAATTAAACCAGAGTTTTCACTTTTCATATGAGACTTGGATTAAATCTACAATGTCTAAATTAAAAAATTCAAATTTGCAACTTCGAACTTGTGATGAAATTCGTCATTTACTTTTCCGATATGCACCTTGAGTGATATCCTGTCTCTGATCTCCTAACACCCCCCCCCCCCCTTCCCCCTCTCACCCTCTGTCCAGTCTGGCATTTTGATAGATCTTATTGGTATTGAATTCACAAGAATTACTACAGGGGCACGGGGGCATTGTCTTCACCCCTCCCCCCCCCCCCCCAAAAAAAAACAAAAACAAAAACAAAAACAAAAACATACAAACAATAACAAACAAAAACGAAAACAAAAAACGAAAATGGAGGGAACAGATAGAGAGAGTCAGACAGAAGAAGGGAGACAGAGACAAAAACAGTATATTTTACATTATAGGCCTAACTTTGTATTATGACAATGTCAATTCTTGTGAAAAATTAAAACAACCTGTCATTTTTCAATATGTACCTATAGTTGAATCATATATAAATATATATATATATATATATACATATTAATAAAAACATATTTTTTAATATAAATGCCGTTAGAAAAGGGTAATTGTGACAGCATCCCCTCCCCCTCTTACTCTCTCTCTCTCTCTCTCTCTCTCTCTCTCTCTCTCTCTCTCTCTCTCTCTCTCTCTCTCTCTCTCTCTCTCTCTCATTCCACCCATTCTCTCCCTTTCTTTTTCTTTACCTTTCTACCCCGATACATTGTGGTACTTTATGGTTGTTGGTTAATGGCTCTCACGGTACTTTGTAACTTTGTGGGGATAAAACGAAGACGAAAATAATCGACCTCCACACCGGGCTTCACACTTGAACACTCAGCTTTCATTCACCTTCCCATTAAAAAAATTATCATTTTCACAAAAGCTTATCAGGGTTTTCTCCATGTTTCATTGAAAATCAGAGTGGGAAGAATTTGGGGAATGTGAACACGAACAATACTCAATTTACAGAACACTAACGTGTATATAAAATGTACTCGTCCCACTAGCTACCTTACCGATTAACGATAAGTAGGCCCAAAACTTTTGATACAAGTGGATAATACTATTTAGATGTCTGCTTATGATTCTTGTGCTCTAAAGAAAAATACAGATCAGAAATAACTGTGAGGGGAAAACAAGAGTAACATTTTTATTAGTAGAAAAAGTTATTTGTTGAAGATTTTGATATTTTTCTACCATGTGCCTATAAGTGAAATGCACTCTCAAAACAAAATGTATCTCTTATCCCCTCTCGAAGATGAAATCTTGTCCTACTAAATCTGTCTACAATGCTTTAAAACAATTCACTAAGGAAAATTCTACCGCTTTCATTGTTAACTTCAAAAAATTCTATACTTTAATTATGAATAGTTTTCGTTACCGCCTATGTGAGACTAGGTTTTTTTTTCTTTTAACATTTCCCGCTCTCTATATGCTACTGCGTGTTACCAAGCTCGCTGCGATGTCTACTATGTGACAATATATATCAAAATATTTTCCCCGATTTAGTCGAGTTAGTTTTCCACGAGGCGGCCAACAATAAATATATATATTCTCGGGAACGTGTCATGGGTTTGAATTAATTTACGACAATAATTTGATGTAAACTGATACAGAGTTCAAAGATGTTGTTTTTTGTCTCACGTCATTTTCGACTAGAATCAAAGGAGCATAAATTAATTTTCTGGTGTCCTATATTACTTTATCTCTATCTAAATGTTGACAGCATACCGATTTCAAACTGGATATTGATACTATACATTAATGGATCCAGGAGTCTTGTTTTTTGTTTAAATGTTTTTTTTTTTTTTTTTTTTTGGGGGGGGGGGGGGGGGGGGGGGAGGCACAGACCCAAAACAAAATATCTGACGACAACAGTAATAATAGGAAAAGTAGTAGTAGAAGTACAGTAGTAGTAATAGTAATAGAAATATAAATAGTAATAATAATAATAATAATGGAAAGATTAGTAATAATAATAGTAGTAACAGTATAAAAGTAATAGTAAAAGTAATAGTAATAGTAACAGAGTAATATGGTAATAGTAACCAGCGCTCAAAATACACGGGGGCGGTGGGCGATTCGCCCCCGTGAGCTACATAATCGCCCCCGTCAGGTTGCTCACGGGGGCGATTGCAAAATTAAAAATCGCCCCCGTGGAATTATAAAACAAAGATTATCTTTTCTGTTATAACTTTAACACAATATTGAGTTTCAATTTTTAAACCTTAAACCAATGAAATGGAACTTAGATTAGCGTGCAAGATTTCTCGTTTTATGAGTAGGCCTAGTTATTCAGCTCGCAGTGCAAACACTGCAAAACAAAAAAAAAAACAAAAAAACAAGGTTATTTAATAAAAGGATCATGTGACAAATAATCATTGTGATTCAAATTGATGCAAGGATTTTGAATAAGCAATGCTTTTCACCAGAATATTCTTTGTAAAAACGACTTTTACAAATCTCAGCCCAAATCTGCCACTGTGTTGTAAGATCACTTTCAGATTAGGAGAAGTGTATTCTTTAATGAGTATTTTACATTGAATGGAACGTCTCAACTCAGTAAGTATGGCTGAGATTTGTAAAAGTTGTTTTTACAAAGAAGATTCGGGTGAATAGCAGTGCTTATTCAAACAAATATTCGCATCGATTTGAATCACAATCATTATTTGTCGCTTAATCCCTTTTAATGACCTTGTTTTCTTTCTCGTTTGCAAGGGGAGAAGAAGATAATTATGTCACGTTAAAGACATCATAAAGATCAGTGTTGTATGCGTATATATTATATACACAGGCCATTAACAGCTATGTAGCTTGTAAATTTGTAAGAGGGAAAATGCTGATTGAAATGATAATGATGAAATAGCAAATAATTGAGGAGTATCATAGTTACCAATTCAATGGACTTTTGTATACAAAAAGAGCCCCCGTCAGTACTAAAAGAGCCCCCGTGAGAAGGCTCACGGGGGCTCTTTTTTGGGGGGAAGAGCCCCCGTGGACAAAAAATTAATTTGAGCCCTGATAGTAACCCTAATAATATGGTTAGTTTGTGGCTCTCACAGTATGCTGTGTAACACATTATACTGTGGGAATGAAACGAAGACGAAACTAATCGACCTTCGCACTTGAACTCACAGCTTTTATTCACCTTCCCCTATAAAAATAGCATTGTCACAAAAGCTCATCTGGGATTCCGCCATATCTCATTGAAAATCATAATGGGAAGAATTCGGGGAATGTGAACACGAACAATTAATGCTCAATTTACACAACACAATCGTGTATAAAGGCCTCGTCCCACGTACCTTACCAATAAACGATTGATACACGCGGATATCATGTGGATAACACTAGTCCTATACTTATGATTCTTGTGCTGTGTTGGAATGTCAAGATAAGAAATAATAATGAAGTAAAAACAGACAAGAATAAAATATTTCTTTGTCAAACTAACATCTGTTGGAGATTCTGACAATTTTCCACAAGTGCCTAAATGAAATTCACTCGATCACCAAACAAAATTTGCAAAATTTATCTATTCACCCCTCTCGAAAATGAAATCTTTGGAAAAATTTAACTACGGATAATTCAACCGCTTTCATATTTGTTTTACTTCAAAGAAAATGTGAAATTTGTATTATGGATATATAGTTTTCGTACTGGCTATGTGAGACTAGGTCGTTTTTTTTTTTCTTTTTACATTTCCCGCTCTCTATGATCATGGACCTTCCCTGCTACGATACTGGGATCAAGCTCGCTCTAATAACCCCCTTGCTATGACGATGAATTCAAACGATTCCCCCAATTTAGTCGAGTTGGTTTAACATGACGAGGGCAACAATTAATATTCTCTTGTGAATGTCTAATGGTCTTAAATTAAATCACGCCACTAATTTGATGTCAACTGATACAAAGCTGTTTTTGCCGTCTTACGTCATTTTCGACATGGAAGGAGCATGTAGTCATTTTCTGGGATCTTTTGACAGCATAACAATTTCAAACTGGATATTGATATTATCTTCTTTTTGTTGGGAGGGGGAGGGGGGGGGGCGAGGGGGTGAAGAGGCACATACCCAAAACAAAAATATCTGACAACAGTAATATTAGGAAAAGTAGAAGTAATATAGTAATAGGCCTGGTAAAAATAATGGTAGTAACAGTAATAGTAGTATGAAGAAGAAGAAGAAGAAGAAGAAGAAGAAGAAGAAGAAGAAGAAGAAGAAGAAGAAGAAGAAGGAAGGAAAAAAGAAGAAGAAAATAAGAATAATCACCATCAACACTAGCCAATAATATCAGTTATCTTCTTCATCATCATCATTTAAAAGTTGCCGCATTTCCAGAGACATAATTATAAATCAATGTCAAAACTTATAAGAAGCAAGTAAACACACAAATAGATATTGAATAATATTTAAATTTGACTGAGTGCACCCCCTCCCCTTCCCCATCATACGTAAATGAAACTGGAACGATTTTAGAGTTCAATCTGTTTTTCCTCTAGTTCAGAGTTTCCCTTTTGATACTATCATAAACAAAAGAACGTTCATGACGTTTTCTATTCTTGGAGAGTAAATTCATATTCTGTGACCTATATGCCCAACCTATTTTAAAAGTGCATTCATGTCTGAACAAGCGATATTTTTCAGTAGTGTTTCTTGTGGTTTTAGATAGAATAGAAAGATAACGATAGAACCTCGTCGGAAACAGATAATGCCCCTGGCAGGCTATACATGGCTGCTAAGAAAGACGGGAAGCATAGTAATAATATAGCAGTAGTACATAAACAATTTTAGCCGTATCAAATTTCAATTTGGGCTGCCAATTCTCAGTTTGTAATATCGGTTACTGACCCCCCCCCCCCCCCCAAAAAAAAAAAAGAGAAGACAATGATAGCAAACACCAAACCCAACCATGATGAAATAATAAGTGAACAAATAAATCAACTTGATAAAACAAAATTAAATCAATTTAAAGAAAGAAAGAAAGAAAGCAATATATATATATATTCACCTCTATGAATAATAATTGTAGCATACATTTATAAAGTGCAGCCACTCTGCAAATACATTCTACTGTGCTGCAAGAGTTCCTGATATGCTTAATATCTACTATGTAAAGTTAAACGCAAGATGTGCTTTTAGTTTTTATTTAAAAGTACTTAATGATGGTGATTTCCTACAAACACTGTTTTTGGCTGCATATAACCATATTCTGCTATCAATACTGCTGATGAACTAATCATAAGTTACAAACACCCCAGACTTAAATGATTCAAAACAAAAGAAATTTATATCACATTATCTCTGCCCATTTATTCATTCAATAAGTAGACAAACAAACATAATGAACCTGTGGAATAAATCACTCACAAAATAAACATGATACAATCTACTGGTGTGTTGACCACCTGCCTTGTATAAAGACCAAATTTTTAACTTTCTTTGACTTGAGTTTCTATGGAAACCTGTATAGAAAGTATATCATAAAGACTATGTCATCTGCATGCTTTTTATAAAGAAAGCTTTGCAGATCTCCCTTGAGTAGTCTCTATATACAGGTTTCACTGCAAAAAGCAATGGCCTATTTGGTTTAGAATGCTATCTAAAAAAGACAACTGAAAACATAAAAGTGATGATGAGTAATGGCTTAGCAATTGTAAAGCAATGGGCGCATTCTATTATTCAAAACATGCCAAAACCAATTGCCTAAACTGATCATAATTAATTGGTCGGTGGAATTAATGCAGTGTATAGTATTAAGCATTTAAATATTTCACAATGCAAATCATTACTCACTTGTGCATGAGAATCTAACTTCTAATTTCATGCAACATTAGAACATGACATTCATATAATCATAAATGGGTAAACATATACAAACCATTTTTCGAGAAGGAGTGTATTAATCTGCAAAAATAAATTATCTATGACGTGAATCAAATGACTTCCTGTCCATGAGCTATGAGGTTTTGGAATCATCAAAATCATAACAAAATGACGCAAACATGCTGGAAAATGTAAATCATGTGATATGAAAAACACTGGACAAAGATGTGGGTGGGCAAATTTTGTTATTCCTTACGTTACTGACCATATCTAAGTTTTTAATATGGTCCTACTAGAGCTAGGCTGTGACAAAAACATACAGTAAAATGATGTTTCTGATGTCAATTTCTGGTCATAATACCTCTACACAAAATGAATATCTGGCAGGAAAATAAAGGTATGGCTCAGTGATAAATAGTGATATAGCAACTTAAAATGAAATTACAAAACTCAAAATGACTTAGCAACTTGGTGAAGCATCTTCTTCACTTGAGAAGCTTTAAATTGTTGATCTTTTCATATTTTGTACCAAGTTCAGGCTCAAAACATTAACACAAAAGTATTTGGAAATTATTCAATCAAAGAATTTTAAAAGTTTCATGAATTTAAAGGGCAGAGATCATAAGTAAAAAATTAGATGGTTATAATACAATCATGATTTTAAGACTTCATGAGGCACAACAACGTAAGAAAGAAAACAGTAGAAGGTACCATTTATTACATTTCGACATCGCTGTGTGACTTGTGAATTTACCCAAACTATTCAAGGTTAAATTGAAAGGGGAAAAAACAGTCATTGCCTGTACATTCCTAGGATTGAAGATCATCAAACATTTTATTTCCCTTTTATTGACAACAAAATAAAAATGATGGCCCAGACCATTAAGATTTTGTTAGCACAGTTACCACCCTTCCAAAAGATTGTTCACATATGTCAGCATAAATCAACAGGGTACAATAAGTGTAGAGCACTTCATATTGTATGTTATTATGATGTAAGTATGCACAGAGTGCTACACATTTCCACCTATCCTTATTATTAGGACACACAGTTAAGTGAGTACAACTAGGAACTTTTGTTGCACATAGTTTGTTTTTCTTCATCCCCACATGCCATTTTTTACATACAGAATTAAAACAAAATGTGGTAAGCCCCCAGGGTTTACAGTGACACATGTGAATGATCCTTGATAAAAATTAAAAAACTCCCATGTGAAAACCTGAATATTATAGCCTTGCGCACATTTCACATGAACATTTTCTTACAATAAAACAGAAATTTAAAAGTGTCTCACAACTATCCTGACTGGAATAGCATTCCTTAGCTTAAATGTCAAGTACCAGTGACCATTTTTTCTCCATAATTTGAGAAAAGTAATCTTTATAAAAAGTATGCAATAGATATTGAATTAAAGCTATCAATGTCATTACATCTTTAAAATTAAATATTAAAAGAAATAAAAAACAAACAAACAAACAAACAAAACATGTGCCATAATCACTCAAGTATAATTGGGATGGAATACACAAGTTAATAATTGTGCTTGTTTCTTATGCTTTGTACCTTGAAAGTACTTGTGCACAGCAGGCATTCTATAAATGTTCCACAAACTGTTGTTTTGAGAAGTCCATGGGAGTTATCCTAGTTCTGCATTATATCAACAACAAAAACAAACTGTTCAAACTTTTCCTCCAATATTGGACATCAGAGCATGTAACATTGTTGAGAAAAAGCCATCAAGGAGAGCTTGCAAGCAGTATGAACTGTTGCATTTGAGAAGTCCATGTGGTTTTCCTAGCTTTCTGCATTTTGTCCCAAAACAAATATTAGTTGGTCAAATTGTTCATCCAAAAGTTGGACAAGCAGCTGATGAAGAGTGTGAACTGTTGCCTTTGAGAGGTCTATGTGGGCTGGCTATCCTTGACCAAAACAAACACAAATTGTCTTTCTTATGATTAGAATCCATGTCAGGTTTTAGCTAACCCACTGCTGGTATCTTGGTTTTTCCTTGCCCGCTGAAAGCTGTTTGAGGGCAGCCTTCCCATAACCACCTCGTCCGCCATCGTAGTCCGTCCGGTATTCATCCCTGACCTGCAAACAAGTACAAGAATTAATCAATAATAGTCTCTAGGCGCTCTAACTCTCTAACTCTCAATCACAGTTACAGTGTGAGTAAGATCTGAAATAAAAATAGAGGGATAAGTTTCTAGGCGCTCTAACTCTCTAACTCTCTAACTCTCGATCACAGTTACAGTGTGAGTAAGATATGAAATAAACATAGAGGGACAAGTCTCTAGGCGCTCTAACTCTCTAACTCTCAATCACAGTTACAGTGTGAGTAAGATCTGAAATAAACCTACAGGGACAAGAGGTCTATGAAATAAGGGAGCATCATGGAACAGTGGTTCATTCACTTGACTCTTAATCTAAAGGTTGAGGGTTCAAATTGATTTCACACTGAACTGAGTTTGAGCAAAATCAGATAATTAATAAGAAAGTTATACATTTTAAGGACATGAAAAACCCTGAAAATCACAAGACAAATTGGCAACTCACTCATAAGCCTGTGACGTCATTGCCTCACTATCCACTAATTGTTTTCTTTATATTAATAATTATAAATTTCCCATTTTCCCCCTAAGAATCTTATTTCCCCACACCAGCATCCAAGTTGTATTGATAGAAATATGTTTTTGTGTGAACTGTGGATGCACTAATATAGAGTAATTTTTTCAGTTAAATCATGACAAATTTGAAATTTGATAAACTATTTATATAAAAATCAATGATTATGAATAAACAATATTCAGAAAATAGTTACACCATGTATCAATTCTTCACAGGTCATAAAAGTTGTGTGAAATATGATACAAATCATATAACCAAAGGCATGGGTAAATCAACCTGTTTTGGGGGATAAAAAGGGAAATTAATGGAATAAAAATGTATAAAGCAATTGATAAATAGTGAGGCAGTGATGTCACAAACTGATAACCGAATTGGTAATTTGTGTAGTGATTTCCATTGTTCCATAGTTTATCATACTTTAAAAAAAAAATCATAACTTCTGTATTAGTAATCCGATTTTACTCGAATAAGCAATGGTATGTTTGTGACTGATTAGAGGACTTGCTCTTGATCCAGATAAATCATGACTCTTTAGAAAACAGGGCCTATACTAGAAACTTCTGCAACATGAAACTTTTGTGAATTGTAAATGGTAGTGATTTTCATTAGCAAGAAACATGAACTGCAAAACTTTAGTGTAGTGTCAGCTTCAATTGAGTTAAGGTTGATCTTACATGCCAACTCTATAAATAACAGGGCCAATAACTTAAAACCAGAACCTGCCACGACATGAAACTTGCAAAAGAAAATTATAGCGATTTTTATAGCAAAAAACCCTTTGAGTCATGAAACACTCACGAGTCTGAACCATTCACAACACTTGTGAGCATTTCATGCACACAAAAGTTTCCTGTTTGAAAGCACCAGTACTTTAAAGGGATTGGATTACATTGTTCAGATGAGAGAAAATGGTGCTAAGGTAGTGACTTCAATGCTAGTTGTACAATTAAAGATAATCTGAAAATTTGAGTGAAAACAGAGGATTTTAAGGTTGATCTGATCTTACCTGTCCCCCGCTTTTCCCTCGGCCGTACTGCCTCCCTTCCTTGAAGCCTACATCCCAGTCTGTCCTGATAATCCTATCATCTAGACGTGTTCCGCTCACGTACCTCATGCAGTTGGCTGCCTCTTCTCGATCATAATATCTGATTTGGCAGTCAAGATTAAACCTCTAATTACATGCAAAGCGTTTTGTATTGATTGATCAAAATGGTAATGACTGATTGATTCAATGTTTGATCTGGTGCTCCACAATTTGCTTTGGCAACAATTGCTCTGGGCTACCACATTATGCAAGATATAGGTTTAGAAGCTGCAATTTGGCTTTAAAGGCAAATCCAACCCAAATAGACAACTACTCTAAAAGAAAGCAGAAAAATCAGAGAAGCAAACTGATGAAAGTTTTAATTAAATCTGTCTATACAGTGCGTCCCAGAAAAAACGAAACCGAGAATTATCAATGTTTAATCATAACTTAGTCACATTTATATACTAATGAATGGCACATAATTTGGAAAACTTAGATCCTCCTCTTTCATTTGATGCAACTCACCTGATGCATATTTCACGCATGAGTGATTTAAATGAATTTGAAGAGAGGAAACCAAAAAGTCATTTGGTGGACAATATCTGAATTTCAAAGAGAAAATCACATTTCTAGAAAGTTGAGTTTCTGCCCTTTCATATGACACCTCAATTACGAAAAATGAGCAAGGAATGACAAAGTTCTGTATGTTTAAATTAGTGCTTGCATTTCCATATTTTTATCAAACGAATTCGTTTTCACTGACTGGAAATATGCATTATATGAGTTACATCAGATGGAAGAGGGGGATCTCAGCTTTCCAAATATGTGTCATTTATCAATTATAATTGTGATTAAGTTATGATCAAATGTCCATAATTCTCGGTTTCGTTTTTACTGGGACACACTGTATATAAAAAAGTTATGAATTTTTGAAAGTTGTAATCACTATACGTATGGGAACTTCAAAAATTGGCTGAAGCGGTAGTGTCAATGTAATGTAGTACTGGACTACTTTCCCATCTGTTCCAACATATAAAACAATTAAAATTTAATTTTTCAAAAATTCATTGCTCATGACTATGAGGGTGTTTCTTTTTAGAGGACCTATAATAATATGCTATCTATAATATATTTTGAGTAGTTCACCAAGGAAGAAGGAAATTACAAGAAAAACAGAAAATAATGATATTTTTGTATACAACAAATGGGAGAGTTATCCACGTCCTACGTCACAATGACCAAACTACCAATTTGAGATTCGTATAGACTTAGTGATATCATATTTCAATGCCAGTAACAGTCAATAGTTCATGAGAAAGATGAACGTTTGCTGAGATCCCCCCCAAAAAAAAAATTTAAAAATTCTTTGTGCAAGCATGGATACCATACAGTGTGCGTGCGATTCCAGAATGATCATTACATTCAGGCAACTTTCCAGCGAAGATTTACAGAGAGTGTCACAGATTTTCTGTGATGTTTAAGCAATCTTTACTCAAGAAAGGAGAAGGTGAGAATTCTTTTAATTTTTTTTTGTGAATTTGGTAATATAAAAGATATACCGGTATGGACTGCTTTAATATTCGACACATAGCTGTGTCGGTTTCTATTGGTATACAGGATGCAATGTCCCCTTGAGCCAATAGAAACAGCTATGCATCTCATAGCAGTCAATATATCTATATAATTTTCAGACATTTGTATGTCTTTGAAAATAGCCTTGTAAAGTTTTGGAAGCTCATAAACAAAGAAGAAATACCATCTTGGCTCAACATAGATCAACACTTGAGATACAATTTGTTTTAGAAACATATTTACATAGCATATATATAGAATAAAATACTACAAAATTCTTGTTTTCCTCCTAGGCAACTGTTTTTTAGGGGCTGTACTAAACATACAGTATGGATAGCAATAGCATTTAGAAATAATGTGACGTTATACGCTCTCTACTAGTACCTGTGCTTGTGAAAACTTCTCCGAAAACAGAAAAATACAAAGGAAACATGTCATAATCATAATCATAATTTGTATTGTGTAGATGTATAATATGAACTAACATTATTTCCAGTACAAAAGATACCAAATTCTCTACATTTTACATTATATTAAAGACCGTCAATGCTACTGGGCCAGAAGGGATTAGACCACCCAGCCAGGTCACTGACATGTGGCTATCTCATCAACTCAGCTCTCAACTAACATAAGAAAAAGAGGATCATGGGGTCCACTAGGCACCGATTTGGGAAGTTTTATATATAGAGGGAGCAAGTAGCTACAAGTAGGACAGTGGGGCTTTAAAATCTATTAAGCAAAGTTTAGGCAAAGGATACTCCACGAAGCAAAAACCGCATGGCGTTCTCTTGATCTTGTCCAGCCCCATGACGACACGCTTGATGCTGCCACACTTAGAGAAGACCTCATAGATCTGCTCCTCAGTGGTAAAGAAAGACAGGTTTCCTATGTACAGAGTGCTTGCTTCTTTCAGCTTTCTCTCTTGGTTGTCCATAGACCCCTAAATAAAAAAATAAGTAAATTCAATTGTCATCAATTAAACTTCTTGTTTTATTCCTTCTAATTGTTCCCCATCCTTTTGTCCATACTTGGTGGCCCACTAGCAGAACCATTCATAGGTGTAGGTGTGGGGCTGTGTTAAATTTGGCAATGGTTTACCTCAGTTGATGGGATAAAAACACAAAAATAATCAGCAAAGTTCAGGGGAAATAGTTTTTTTTTTTACATAGAGGGATAATAAAAATATCACTTCCGTACAATTTATCCAACTGGCTCTAAATCACCATGTAAAAAATACAAAATTTCAGGCTGATGATCTTATTCCTTTGTTTGAAGCTCAAACAAGATTGAGAACACACTCTCAGTCTCACTTAATTGTACTATTTGTAGCCAAGGCCAATCCCGGCAGTATAGAGATGTGAGGACTGAGGTGTTAAAATTTGAATAGACTCTACATCTTACTAGTCCGAATGCACTGCCACTGGGAACTGAACTAGATCTAGATCTACATACAGTAGATTGAGATTCAAAGTTTCAAAGTTCAAAGTTTCAAACTGATGTTTTATTTCTAAAAATGAGAGACATGAAGTCTTAAACTTTGAAGAGGAACTTTTGTTATGTTTTAAGGAAAGCTGAAATTCTGTATCTGTGCTGTAACAGTGTGAGGTCGAGTGTGACTGTGGGATGATCCTGACGGTTGTCTACAAGTGCATCCAAAACAAAGCTCCAGTGTATCTCAATTCTCTCATCGTACCCTACCAATCTGCTTGTCATGGCCTTCGCTCGTGTACTGACAGCACCCTGCTACACGTTCCTCGAATATACACCAAAGCTGGCGACAATGCTTGCCATGCATGTGCTCCTCGACTCAGAAAAGAGCTTCAACGTTTTATTCGATTAGCACCTGCGCTGGATGTCTTCCGAAAATGTCTCAAAACTCTCCTCTTTGACCATGATCAACGATAGATTCTTTGATAACTTTTATGTAAAGCGCTGTGAAACAACAGTTAGTTTGTAAGAGCGCTATAGAAATGACTTCATTGTATTTGTATTGTATTTGTATTGTACTGAGCTAGTGACGGTGTGAAGAATATAAATTGCATCTCGAACTCGAAGTCAAGACTCAAAGGAATGGATAGGCAATTCACAATTGCCATTGGAAAAATAACGGAGACAGATATCACTGCCAATTTATATTTTATACTCTGAAATTTAGAGTTTCATCTAACAAAGTCAGACCTACTCACTTACTCAGATCGAAATATCTCTATCAAACACTTATTCAATTCTTCGTCTTACACTACAGTCAATGCCGCCGCGGCAGGCGACGCCACAGACAATGACGGATCACACAACATCAAAACGGGCATGTGGGATCGTGTAAACGGTAATGGAAATATATATCAAGCCATTTGCAAAGTATTATCAAGTTTACTATAACTACTATTGAACACTTTCAAAATATATAGAAGGACATACCCCGAAATGCTGGTCCCTGTAGGCACTAAGCTCTGTCATACGGTCCGATTTTAACGCCATTTTCGATAATTTCGTTGTTTCAGCGATCCGGAAAAAAAGAAAAGATAGAAAAATGCCCTCTACGATAGCGCTTTTTTGTATGCACTTTCAGTTCTTTTTGGGGCACAAGCAGATTGGTCAAAAATTTAATATGTGACAATTTTTTTCTTCGCATTATTATTTTGTTTACGAAGGGGGGGGGGAGGTCGCTAAAGTTATGTTGCTTGTTTTGGTCTGTCTGGGGCACCAACCTCTTTCCCATCCCTGGGTCCCATGGGCAGGCGCGGATCCAGGATTTCTTAGTGGTGGGGGCCCAAATTTGAAATCAATTTGAAATGTAGTGTTCTGAAATATGAAAATCGTGCCGGCCAATATTTCGCTCAGTGGGGGGGGGGGGGGGGGGGGGGGGGGGGGGGGGGGGGGGGGGGGGGGGGGGGGGGGGGGGGGGGGGGGGTAGTGAGCACTAATTTGTTTTTTTGGCCCTCAAAAATTTGAAAAATTGCACCCCCCCCTTAATATATATATATATACATTTTAGGATCCGAGAGCTTAACTTTCAAATACAGAACTATTGAAAAGTACCCGGCATGGGGAGGGGAGGGGCATATAGGGAACGTGCAATTGAATAACAAAAGAAAACAAATAAGAACAGTGAGAGGCGAAAGACTGCATGGATATATATAGGGAAGGGGGGAAAGAGAAAGAAAAAGAGACTTCTATAACCGAGAGATAATTTGACTATCAGAATTTGCCATGGGAAAATCTTCTTCGTGTAAAAATAGCCCTATGACCTTTAAATAACAATTAATTTCTATGATATAATATTAATATTTCATATGAAGATTAACCTTATGTCATCCAGGTACGATTTAAATGACAATTAAAGTACGCTAGATTTATATCTTCGCATATTGCCTGGATGTTATTATGTAACTTTGTGAGACTAGCACCAGATTTAAGAATTCTGATACGTATTAGTAATTTCTAGTACAATGACAACGTAAACTCTCCCGAAATATATAAAGAAATGACATGGACGAGAACAAAAATTGGGTGGGCAAGTCAACAAGATCGCAAAGGGGAAGGGCTGGTCGCTCTCGGCCTTCTCCGGTTATTTATTCTGAAATGTATTAACAAAATAGTGAGAAAATGACTAAGGCAAGAGAACAATAAAGCATGTCTAGATAAACAAATAATGAAATAAACAATTCTTAACATAAAAAAGAAGAATAACGGGAGGCCGTATAGGGTCCGAAATCCGGAGTCCACTGAGTCATCTTGTTTATTGACCCCACCCATATGGCGGAACAGTCTGTATAACTCTTACCCATGTATTATATATATATATATATATATATATATATATATATATATATATATACATATGGCGAAACAGTCTGCATAACTCTTACCAATAAAGTTTAACCTTCCAACTCCTATATCTATATATAATATAGGCCTATATAATTATATACATCATGTAATTAACAAAATTAATGATGAAAAAGAGACGTCTCATACAGTTGTTATTAGATCACAAATACCTTACGTCTTCATCAAATAAATATGATCATGATGATAATGATAATCATGTAAACGAAGTGGACGTGTTGAAAGATTATAAAGCATGAAACTCACAAGAATTCTTCTTATACAAAAAGAATAATAATTGTTTACACTTTGTATATATACAAATATATAGGAATAAAACGAAAAAATAGTCCTGTGATGGTCGACAAAAATAGACAAGTGTTGAAGAAATAATGAAACAAGTATATGAGTGTGTTTGTGTTGAAAGATTACAAAGCGTAAAACTTACAAAATTTTTCTTATACATATATTTTTTTTTTAAATGCTAACGCTTATAATACATTCATGTACATACATACATACATACATATATTATATATATTAAAGAATACAAAGAAACACAGCGTGGCGGTTGACGAAATATAGACAAGCTAAGAAGAAATAATGGAACAAGTATATAAGTATGTGTGCGTGTGTGTGTGTGTGTGTGTGCGTGTGGTTGTGTGTGTGTTGTGTTCATGTAAATAAATAACGTAACAGATTGTGTGAATGCAAAAACACATACACACACACACACACCTTGACTTTATGTAAAGAGAAAAATATAGATTAATATACATAAATCAATGTGACAATTACAGTTCGTTTTATCCTTAGAAAGTGCTTTCTGAATTCTAAAAAAATGCACTTTGAAACCGACTTAGCATTGTATGGGTAAATAAAGTTTAGGCCTATGAAGATAATGAGCTAACAATGGGTAAGCAATATCTATTTTTCTTTTAATAGAAGCATTCTGATTTATCCTCATTCACTCAAAAGTTTGTTTTTCTTTTGCATTTCCTTTTCATAGCAGTAATGATGAAAAGATTGTGGGCCATCACTAAACAATCTATTTTACCCCTTTCACAGTTTTCTATCCATTTCACATACCTTTCCTATCTACTAAAGTAATGATTAACAGTTTATGGGCTAACATTGTAAACTTGCTTGGGCTTATAAACTCCCTATATTCATTTTACAGAGGTATTGTATCTATTTCTATTCACTAACTAAAACTTCTTCTTTTTCCCAAGCATTTCCTATCCGCATGATGATGTGTATTGTTTACATTAGAGGCGAAGCTAGTCGACTTACTAGCCGTCTCTTCCCCTCTCTCCGATGAATACTCTTTCTCATAAAAGCACATTATTTGCATTTGAATAGGCAGTGGCTTTACCTGCAGTAATACATGGACTCCATTCAACCCTCCCAAGTTGCGAGCTTTCAAATTGTCTTTTGATTCGAACTCGATTCTTCTTTTCTATGGCCCACGAACAGTGAGCATAAGGGGAGTGAGTAAAAGAAAAAATGATAAAGGTTCCACTATATACGGTTCAATGAAGAATGGCATGTTCTGTGGCGGACAAACACCCCTCTCCCGCTCTCTCTCTCTCTCTCTTCCTCTCTCTTCCTCTCTCTATTCATACTGTACGAGTGAGCTGTACCAGTGGCGTAAAAGGAAATAAAGGGGGAGAAGATCGCACTATCATTTTAGCCTGGCGCACAACGTCGTGTTTTTAGGTGGAGGTCGTACTTTACGTGTGTGTGTGTGTGTACGTGCGTGTGTATGTGCGCCTTGTCATATCCATACAATGCACGACACACAGTCACCGTACACTGAACAAATAAAGAGAATAACTCACCGTGTGTGTTAAAAGAGCCATACTTCAAGTTCAGAGAAGGGCGTAAACTTTAATTTTTAAATCAAAAGTGGACCAACGTCAACTCCTTTCATTTTGTCAATATTTCGAACGCGAAACACGTGCCATTACTGACTTCTTCGGACCCACGATCGAATACCATCTCATACTCACAGACAATCAGCACAATCGTTGGACTGACGGAATATCTAAAAACTAGGAAATAAAGTTTTGTCGAGGAGTGGAATCAGATCGGACTGGGGACATGGATCTGGACTACGGTGGTGACTACGGTGGTGACTACGGTGGTATTTATGGCCGAAATTATGATAGCACTCACATGGCCCGGTTTCTGGGCTCTAGGAGAATGGGGGCAATTGAACCAAGTCCGGCGGAGGTTTTGAGGGAAATTAAGATGGTCGTCAATGATTACAAAGCTGCCAAGCGCAGTCCAAGGAGCTATTCACTCCATGTATCACCCACTCATGTTATAGTGAGGGAGGAAGGTAAGCTTTATTTTCATCTCTGTTATTATTATTATTATTATTATTATCCTTATTTGGCAAGAGTTCCATAATACCCTCTACTAAAATTGGAGAAGAAAAAAATATAGATATGTTTCCGAGTGATATACCTAATGATAATATAATATATACAACATGGGAAACTAGGGTTAGGGTTAGTGTAATAATAAGGCAATACTAGAAATTTCGTTTTCGTTTTTATTTAGTGGGGGGGGGGGGACTCTTTCCCCTCTATAAATTTAAAAATAGAATTTAAGATATTCAAAGAGAGAAATCAAAGAACAATATATATTTATATACATATTATATCATATCTAGTATCCATGTATATACATTATATCTGATATCAAGTCGGTATACTCCCCAGGAAGCGGGGCGTGTGTACTATCATGAGCAGATTTGTAAGAAACTCTAATGACCGGGTAATAATTATTACAATGTAAAACACTTAGAAACAAATTTGAATATTATTATTATTTTATTGTAGTCGACGTGTTGGCAGGATAGGATGATGCAAAAAAAAAATGATTGATAAAATCATGGAACATACATACATTATTGATTATGTCGATATTACGACGTGGAACGTCTTATTTGTACCTTTTATGTGCCCTTTTCATTTCTGGTGAATGGTCCTTTTTAGGTGCGAGAAGAGCCCCCCCCCCCCCCTCTGATAATTGCCCTTTTTACTTTTCACACGTGACCCTTTTCCTTTAGAAAAAGTGGGTTTTTTTTCCTTCTGATGAGCACACCCCCCCCCCCCCTTTTTTTGTACAAGAGCCCCTTCCCCTTTTTATAAACGCATTTTTTCAAGTTGATATATTCTCCTATCCAAATATATTATAGGTGCCCCTTTTTCATTCTCATAATGTGCTTTTTATCATGGTGAGTGCCATTTTTCAGGTGCAAAAAGTGCCCCAATTCCACCTCTGATAAATGCCCTTTTTACTTTAACACGTGCTCCTTTTTTCTGATGACTAAGAAAATGACTAAGAGCAATTTGTTTCAGTTAATTTACCTCAAATGTCGCCTTTGTCCAATCCTTAAGCATTTTCTGCTTGTGATTTGAAGTTGCAATTTATCATTTCTCCTAACTACCATTACGCATTTCATATATATATATAAAATATCGCATGCATGGGTTAACACATTAACAGAGGTACATGATTTCAAGTTTTGAGCTAAAACAGCTAGAATTTTAAGGGAAAAAATCCAAATAACATTTCCTCAGCAAATCCGTAAATTTTCAATTAGTGCGCAGTCTTCAGTGTAATTCGATGAATAAGCTCAATGTAATGACTAGTAAGGAATTTCTTTTCTTTTACAAGGAAGTAAACGCATTTTGTCTTTGAATATCTATCGTGCATTTTCTTCTGTCACTAGTAACATTGTATACATACTGTACACTCAAGGGTGATTATAATGACACACACAATTCACTCTCACTTGGCATGTACGATGGCGTCATAATATTGGTTTGTATCATCGCCATATTGAATTTGGTAATCTTACCATTAAGGCCAGTTTTAAAATATCAAATAATCTATATTTCTGTACTTAAAATAAGACTTTCTCTTGGAAATTAGTAAATCTATGTTTTTCATGGTTTGTCATCATAAGAGGAACATTTTATGATGATTTTCTTTTTCATCAGCTAATCAGACATTGTTTGATTTTATTTTATTTGTCAAACTCAAATATAATATAGAATCAAAGCAGAGTGGTACAAAAGACAAGGAAATATATAGAACAAATGAAAATAAGAATTAACTCGACAGGATGGCCAATTAAAGGTCGAGAGCTCATTAACAATGTGGTCCTATTAATTATAGAATCAATATTAAATGTGTTGAATATTTGCATGGTTAGATATTCATGGTGATCATGACGTCATTATTCATTATACAATCCTTCTGAGTTTACAGTATCAATATCATGAGTATTTTATCCTTGCAAGCATATTAAATGCAAATTTATATTTAATATTTACCGTTTCGAAAAAAAAGGCGGGGTCTGTTATGAGAAATGTGCTTGGAGGATACGTTTGAGTAACTCAGCAAGGTTGAACAATCGACAATCGATCTGCTTTAGTCAAAGTGGCCACACCCAAGCGATTTGACTTATTGCCAGGCACTAATGCTATTGAAATTGCATTAAGTTGATTTTTTTTTTTAAGTTTTTTTTTGTTTGCGATCGTGTGACTAAACGAGAGCCTAGATCCTAATTTGACATTTACAAGGAATTTTTAATTTTGAAAAATAAATGTTATACACATCAGTAATCATAAAACCTAATATGAAGTACTTTCAATAGTTGAGTTTCCTAACAACCATTAAACAAATTGATAAAATATTGAAATTAAAATAGTATTGTTACAGAATGACCATAATGACCTATGGCTATGTCTTCCGTAACAAACCCAAATAAGATTCAATATTTCATAAATTTGACGAGTGTTTGATAGGAAACCCAAATGTTATGAAGGTTACTCATATTAGTAAATATATCATATAAGTAATTTGTAGATTTTTTGGGGCATTAAAATGTCTGTAACATTCGTTATTGAAAACAGAAAATTCTCTGGAAACGTCATTCCGTGACGCTTAGAATTGACCAAGATTACAACCATGAACACGTATATCATTATCTGGACAACTGACGTATTTTCAATTACCTTGACAGATTTTCTTTCACCCTGACGTATTTTCTATAAGTCCACTCCTTTTTTATTGTGATACTGTGACCCCCGATGACCAATTATTGTGAAATTGAAAATAAATCCGGCCATTTACTACAAGCATGGGTGACTTAGGGGTTGGGAATACCATACATTTCCCAGTGCGTGATAGTCAATTGCCATTTGGTCCAAGGTCACTAAGATCACTTTATAGATCATTGATTTATAAAGCTCAAATAAATTCGAGAAATATAAATATTTGTTCTCGCAGATTCGGCTGATCAAGCTGAATATCATATTGTAGACTCTCCGCCAGAAGGTCGTACTAGGTACGTGTACTGTCAATGGCAGGAACGACTTTTTAAGGACAGTTGACGATATTTTCTTCATTATGGGTGCATAAACAGCTTAACGCAATGATCCTTACTTGTGTTTGCTTTTTACGTTCAATTGAATTATGTTAGCATTATTGAAACATAATGTTCTAAACGGGGAATGCATGAGAACGTGTTCATGTTTTTGTTTGCATAAATAAATTTGGCGGGATTGCGGTTTCACTATAAAGGTCACATCTCTTGTCACTTGCGACATGGTGTGTTGATTTCATACAATAAATTTTGAACCCGTCATTAAATTGAGGATGTTTTGCCAATTAAGGGGAGGATTAACAATCCATACATTGATATTAACAACACGCAGCATAAATTATCTTGGCGATTAAGCATAATGATAAATGGATGGTTGTCTGTAGGACATGTGTAATCAATGGCGGATCTAGGAGGGACCCAGGGGCCCCCTCACCCGGGGAAAAACCAGATAAAAACACTTTAATTTTACCTTTATTTGTTAAGAAAAAGAAGACGGGCCCTCTCCACTGGAACTGAAATTATTGCTCACAACCCCTCCCCCCCCCCCCCCATGAACGAGATATCGGCCTGCGCGATTTTCATATTTCGAGAGCAAAAAAAAAATAGTCTCCTTGTCAATTGGGGGTAATGTAATATGTGGTTCGGTTTTTTGTTGGTTTGGTATCGGCCGTGTCGTTGTGACTGGCTGGTATTACGCAATCACGTGGTGTTGAACGAGAGGCGCCATTGTTTCGTAGATACTTCGCGTTAAAGTTCAACTTGCCTTCAGACAATAAAAGGTACCAGAGGATTATTTATTTTTCTTCCTCACAATAAAGTTAGTTTTTGTTGTGTCTCAAAAGCTTGTCGCGGGGGTGATTTGTGAATGGACCCTCTGATTGAGAAATAGCTTCGTTTCCTCTGATCGAGAAATAGCTTCGTTTCATGCTGCTTGCTGTAATGGTGAGGTTGCCAATTATAATGACTCAAGGCTTTGCATTAATAGTTTCAAAATATGTACATAAAGACAAAGAAAAATATTAAAAATTCACATTTGAGAATTATGCAAGCGAGCTCCATGGTATCAGTAAGCTGTTGATCAGAAAGTGCGCAAAGTAAAAAAAAAAGTTATCATAATCATTATCATTACCATTATTGTTTTTATCATCAATTCATTTTATGATAAGATTGTTCTTCTTCTTGTTATTACCATCATAATCATCATTATTGATACTATATTACTACTACTTTGGTTGCTATACGTGTTACTATCATCGTCATTTTCATCTTCATCATAATATTTTCCAATCAATATGTAAATTACTTAAATTTGGAATATTTTAATATAACGTGAGAAATTCATCAGTATTTAGTGCCATATTTGACATTCTTGGGGCTATGGCGAAATATTTTACCAAAAAGTTTGGAATGTTAAGATAATTAAAATGAAATATTTATATTGTAGGCAAATACACTTGTTTTTTAAACTAACACATTATTTTCGTTTAGAGATTTCTAAATTGTCTTTTATCGAAAAGAAGAGAACGAATAGCACCTTAAAATGCGCAACTTATGACAATGCACCCTTTTCAAGTGCTTGCACAAGTCGGGCCACAAGTGAAATAGAGTAAGTCCGTTGTCTTTCTTCTTTGATGGCATGTAGTTTAAATCCCTCTTCGAGGTGACAATAAATCAATATAGGATTAACAAGTAGAGTTTAACAATCAGCCAGAGATGTGGTTTCATCACTCCATCCAAGGAGATTCCTTGAAGCTCCTTGTTAAAAACCCAGACAAAAGGGGAAGTTCGGAACCATTGATCTGCTAAGAAGGACATTATACTGACACATTTAGTTTTATGCCCATTACGCACCATACGTCATTTTAATTGCGTCGTTAGCTGCGTTTATTAACCCTGTGAATGCAATTGCAGTGCTTACACTAATAATTCAACACAAT